TTTATGCCTGTTGGAATTGGATCCTTTTGTACCCTTTTGATGAAGAAAGCTGATTTTTGGCTTGTTATGAAACAAATGTCTCAGGGTCTTGATGTGAAGGGATTTCTTCGAATAAAATTTCTATGACATACTCGGTTTTGTTGCTTTTCTTTTTACTAGTTTTGTAAGAAATCAATTTGAAAATTGATAGGGGTGATATATAGTCTGTGCTCTGGTTATATGGAATCAATATCTTGAAGCATTTATTTGATCGACTTATGTGCCTTTTGTCTATGAAAAACACACAAGCTACTAATATGATGAGGTAGAATTCAGTTTATGTTGTGATCTCATACTATCATATTGTTTTGTTGTATTTAAGCTACACAAGCTAATAAATATGAAGAGGATTTATGTTGTGATCTCATACTATTATATTGTTTTGTTGTATTTAAGCTACAGACTTTCTCGTCTTGTAGGCCTCAATCTGAATTCAAGTGAATAGTTGTTTCAATCGGTTAGTTAGCCGCTTGTAATTATGTGTTTTAATAGAATATGTCGTTCTGAAAAATAAAAAATAAAAAATTGATGTCTTTCAAAATTTGGGATTTTTGTTGATGTTTTAGTACCAGATATCGAGTCTTTAGTACCAGATATCGGGTTTTTAGTACCACTTGTATTGAACACATAAAAAGACCAAATTTCGGTCGCAAAATAATGTTTATACGACCCATAATCGCTCTCACATTAGTTTATATGAGATTTTAAATGTTTTTAATTGAGTTTAATCACAAATTGGTCATGAACTCGATACACTAATGCAAAAACACTACTTAATACACTTCATCTCATTGAATGGTACCAGTTTTGACGGAAATAATACCGCATCTTCTTCTACGTGGTACCTGTTTTTGATCGATTAGTACCTACGTTTGGTCAACCAAAATAGATTATTTCAATTTTGGTCAACATTTACAAAAAGTATTACCAGACATAGAGTATGATAGTACCACTTTATGGTGTTTTAGTACCTGATATTGGATCTTTAGTACCACTCCTAATGAACACATAAAAACATCGAATTTCGGTCGCAAATGATGTTTATATGATCCATAATCACTCTCACATTAGTTTATATGAGATTTAAAATATTTTTAATTGAGTTTAATCGCAAATTGGTCATGAACTCAACAAACTAATGAGAAAACACTACTACTACACTTCATTTCATTGAATGACACACTTCATCTCATAGAATCATCATACATGACTACTCCAAATTTTACGTATATGTTTTAACTTCCACTTTTTTTAATCCAAATCATGCGTGAACGATCCACGTGTCATAGTAGACATGAAAGATTAGAGAAATCACGATTCTTAAAATAGTACCTGTTTTAGCAAAAATAATACCGCATCTTCTTCTACGTGGTACCTGTTTTTGATCGATTAGTACCTACTTTTGGTCAACCAAAATGGATTATCTCAATTTTGGTCAACATTTACAAAACGTAGTACCAGACCTAGAGAATGATAGTACCACTTTATGGTGTTTTAGTACCTGATATTGGGTCTTTAGTACCACTCGTAATGATCACATAAAAACACCGAATTTTGGTCGCAAATAATGTTTATATGATCCATAATCACTCTCACATTAGTTTATATGAGATTTAATTTTTTTTTAATTGAGTTTAATCGCAAATTGGCCATGAACTCAACACACTAATGAGAAAACACTACTACTACACTTCCTTTTATTGAATGACACACGTCATCTCATAGAATCATCATACATGACTACACCAAATTCTACGTATATGTTTTAACTTCCACTTTTTTTAATCCAAATCATGCGTGAACGATCCACGTGTCATGGTAGACATGAAGAATTAGAGAATCACGATTCTGAAAATAATACCTGTTTTAGCAAAAATAATACCGCATCTTCTTCTACGTGGTACCTGTTTTTGATCGATTAGTACCTACTTTTGGTCAACCAAAATGGATTATCTCAATTTTGGTCAACATTTACAAAACGTAGTGCCAGACCTAGATTATGGCAGTACCACTTTATGACGTGTTAGTACCAGATATCGTGTCTCTAGTACCACTTGTAATGAACACATAAAAGGACCTAATTTCGATCGCAAATGATGTTTATACGACCCATAATCACTCTCACATTAGTTTATATAAGATTTTAAATGTTTTTTATTGAGTTTAATCGCAAATTGGTGATGAACTCGATACACTAATGAGAAAACACTAGACTTCATTTCATTGAATGACACACTTCATCTCATAGAATCATCATACATGACTACTCCAAATTCTACTTATATATTTTCACTTCCACTTTTTTTCATTCAAATCACGTGTAAACGATCCAAGTGTCATGGTAGACATGAAAGATTAGAGAAATCACGATTATGGAAATAGTACCTGTTTTAGCCAAAATAGTACCGCATTTTCTTCTACGTGGTACCTGATTTTGATCGATTAGTACCTACTTTTGTAAAGAAAAATTGATTATTTCAATTGTGGTCAACATTTACACAAAGTAGTACCAGTCATAGTGTAAGACAGTACCACTATTTGGCGTGTTAATACCAGATATCGTGTCTTTAGTACCACTTGTAATGAACACATAAGAAGACCGAATTTCGGTCGCAAATGATGTTTATACGACCCATAATCACTCTCACATTAGTTTACATAAGATTTTAAATGTTTTTTATTGAGTTTAATCGCAAATTGGTCATGATCTCGATACACTAATGAGAAAACACTACTACTAGACTTCATTTCATTGAATGATACAGTTCATCTCATAGAAATCATCATACATGACTACTCTAAATTCTACCTATATGTTTTCAATTCCACTTTTTTCATCCAAATCACGTGTGAACGATCCACGTGTCATGGTAGACATGAAAGATTAGAGAAATCGCGATTCTGGTAATAGTACCAGTTCTGGGCAACATAGTACCGCACCTTATTCTGCGTGGTACCTGATGTTGATCGAATAGTACCTACTTTTTTGAAGAAAAAATGATTATTTCAATTCTGCTCAACATTTACAAAAAGTAGTACCAGTCATAGTGTAAGTCAGTACCACATTATGGGGTGTTAGTACCAGATATCTTGTCTCTAGTACCATTTGTAATGAACACATAAGAAGACTGAATTTCGGTCGCAAATGATGTTTATACGACCCATGATCACTCTGACATTAGTTTATATAAGATTTTAAATGTTTTTGATTGAGTTTAATTGCAAATTGGTCATGAACTCGATACACTATGAGAAAACACTACTACTAGACTTCATTTCATTGAATGACACACGTCATCTCATAGAAATCATCATACATGACTTCTCCAAATTCTACCTATATGTTTTCAATTCCACTTTTTTTCATCTAAATCACGTGTGAACGATCCACGTGTCATGGTAGACATGAAGGATTAGAGAAAATAGCGATTCTGATAAAAGTACCAATTTTGGGCAACATTGTACCGCATATTATTCTGCGTGGTACCTGATGTTGATCGAATAGTACCTACTTTTTTGAAGAAAAATTGATTATTTCAATTCTGCTCAACATTTACAACACGTAGTACCAGTCATAGTGTAAGGCAGTACCACATTATGGCGATGTAGTACCAGATATCCTATCCCTAGTACCACTTGTAATGAACACATAAGAAGATCGAATTTCGGTCCCAAATGATGTTTATACGACCCATAATCACTCTAACATTAGTTTATATGAGATTTGATATTTGGTTAATTAAGTATAATCACAAATTGGTCACGAACTCAACACACTAATGGAAAAACACCTTAAATACACTTCAACTCATTGAATGGTACCAATTTCTACGGAAATAATACGTCTTTTTCTTCTACGTAGTACCTGTTATTGATCGATTAGTACTAACTTTTGTGAAGAAAAAATGATTATTTCAATTCTGCTCAACATTTATAAAGTAGTACCAGTCATAGTATAATGCAGTACCACTTTATGGCGCGATAGTACCAGATATCATGTCCCTAGTACCACTTGTAATTAACACATAAGAAGACCAAATTTCGATCGCAAATGATGTTTATACGACCCATAATCACTCTCGCATTAGTTTCTATGATATTTGATATTTGGTTAATTAAGTTTAATCGTAAATTGGTCACGAACTCAACACACTAATGGGAAAACACTACTTAATACACTTCAACTGATTGACTGGTACCAGTTTTGACAGATATAATACCGCCTTTTCTTCTACGAAGTACTTGTTATTGATCAATTAGTACCAGCTTTCTGGAATGATAATGTAATACACCGATTAAAACTTCACAAAACTATTACATAGATTGCAGTATAAAATGCCAGTATATTGTACAAAAAATATCTCATAAAGTGTCATTTACTACCCACTCTTTGAAATGAAAATGGGTACACAAGTATGGACGAGATTGCATTTTCAAATGGCAAATTGTTGATCCCCTTTGTATAACGATGCATATACTCTCCATTCACAATCCGCATCGCTACAACAAATGATGACCTTCTGCTTGTCATTTTTCCGATACTTAAAAGACCGCTTGTTTGCAATCGCGTAGTTTTTGACACTCTTTCGAAATTCGTCGGCCCCACTGAGTATCTGCCCCTCTCCTTTGATGCAAGATCTCCAAGAATTGATCGATTTATCTTGCAACAACTCATCTTCTCCCTCCGAGAAATCATTAGACTGTACGTTTTCCCTGCGTTCATGACAAAATAATACAAAAATTTATAAATAATGGAACTAGTTAAAAAATTAATGAACTAGGATATGATACGACTATACCATATTTCAATAATAAATTCATTAATATTATAAAAGCAACATTACTTGTTCATGTTCATCGGGAGGATTGAACTCCATCATCCGGTCTTTCATTTCTTTCCATGGCAATTATCTCTATAATATTTAATATCCAACAAACATGTAACCGAATTATGTTCTTCACATCCTCATCATCCAACAAACTAACTCTCTTTTTTTCTTTTGGCACAATATAGCATAGCACGACGGATTTGAAATTAACGTTTGGCCACCTCTTTGATATGAGAGTGTAAACTTCGTCAAGCGTTGATCCAATGTGCATAGAGAACACAAACAATTCGTTCTTGTACGTACAACTCCCTAGTATATCACTTCGTGCCCCTTCCATGTATCTAACAATAATTGGATAAATAAAAAAAAAAAACTTCACATTTCCTAGGAAAATATGGTACAAAACAGTATTAAAGTGGTACTATATACATGCAAACAGAGGTACAATAATCAAGAATAGTGGTACAGTGATCATTCCCACCTTATTTTGTTGTTTTAGGGTGAATAACACATTACATAACCTAACAATAGCATCAATTTCGATTACATAAACAAGAGATAAGAGATTTTGATCAATTTAATTGATTTAGGGTTAATATGAACAACCATTTTTAAAATTCAATCCTTAACAAATTAACCAAATATATATGAATTAAACATGATTTTTGGACTCCAAAATGCTCATATAATACATATATTACTTACTACTTCAAATTTTGGCCGGAAAAAGCACGAATGTTGCCGGAAAAAATGAATTTTTGGGCGCACAAATTTAACGTCGGAATCACTTGTTTGGCCGTATTTGTTGTTGCCGGAGTTCTTCTCGCCGGATTTGGGTCGCCGGAGAGACCGACCTACAAAAAAAAAAAAAGTGAAGCAGTCGCGGGAAATGGAGGGAGACGAGAGAGAGACGGGAGAGAGATGGAGGGAGATGATGTGTGGAAGAAGATTGATATAATAAAATATTAGTATGTATAATGTTGGTGTAAGAGAAAACAAATAAAATAATATGTTAGTTGGTTGTAGTGGGATGATGTAATAATCATTTTGTTTTTGATTTAATTTTAACACTAGGGAGTTAGAAGGAAAAAAAATTAAAGGGGTAGAGAGTTAGGAGGAAGAAAAAAAGGTCTAGAACTGATGAAGAAATTGAAAAGGGAGTTGAAGATTTGAGTGGAAATCACCCTTTATAATATTTAACTATGTATAATTGTGTATCCCTCCAATACATATATGAGGAATTAGCATGGACCTTTATTGGATGACACGTGGCGTTTTCTCAACCCACCAATAATGCCTTTACTTTTTCTCGGTAATTACAAAACTGCCACTTTACTTTATGCATTTAGGGAGAGGGAAATCTGCTGAGATAGAGGCTGTACGCCATATCTTTTTTGCTCTTCGGTGGATTTGCTACGCGTAAAATCTGGGTGCTCTGTATTTGAATTTACTTTTTGGCACGCTTTGAAGAGACTGCGAGATTTGGTGTGTGCTTCATTCTCGTTCGTGGAGTGCGACGACCGTGCGATTTGATCGGTGGGTCTTCTTTTTGTGCTTTTATTTTTATGTGTTCTGCTGCCGCGATGAGGAGTCTGTGTGTGGCCATTTGAGGGTACAAACCTATCTACGGTGGGATTACATTTCCAATCTCCCTAAACGTGAATTTTATGGCGAGGTTCACGCCGCCTGTATGCAGCTGATAGCACATCTTGTTGGTTTCGATTAGTTCTTTTAGGTGGTTTTTTCGATTGGCCCTTTTGGTCAAAATATTTTCTGTTAAGAGAACTTAATTTCGTTTTCTATTTGAAAAATGTGGCCTTCTTTGTATTAACGTTTCTTTGTTGTGACCCCTACAAATTATTTTTCCTTAGCGATAATGAGGTTTCCTTTGTTTAATGTCGTTGCTGTCGGCCCTTTTTTAAATTTCAGGGGTCAGGTTGATTGTCGTTGCATTTACCAACACGCCGAAGTTTAGGAAAGTCAAAGCTGAGGGTGGAACTGTTATAACTGAGGTACAACCCAGTATTCATATGATATGATGAGTTTCATATTTAGGATTTGTGTGAAGAATTCCTTTTTCATTTAAATTTTTTTATTGGTTCTGCTTGTGTCTGTGGCATTGTGATGTGAATAGAAGTTTAATTTTTTTTATTTTATTTTTTTTGTTCATGCCAAGTTTTAGGTTTCTATTTAAGAGTGTCCATTTACGGCGTCAAACCTCTTCTAACATTTAACAATTGTTAATCTGCTTACGGTAACAGATATGATAATGGATTTGAACTACTATGTTACTTTGGAATTTTGACTAGCAAAGTAAATCTTTGCTCAAGATCTTAGCAGTGTTCTTGAAATGTAGTATCTTGAGACTAAAAGGTATATGTTCAGATTGTCAGTTATGTGTGGTTTCATATCTCTTTTTATCCCCTTGAGCACACCATTTCTATAATAGATATGATGTTACTGGCTAATTTTGTGTTTTCTTTAAAAAAAAAAATGTCTCTATATTTGTTGTGTGCTTAATTAGGGATCGATGGCTTAATAATTATAGCCAATCTGGAGATCGTTGGCGAGCAGTGGCGGCACTGGAGATAGGTGGTGTTCGGCCGTTGACTTGGTATGGAGATTGCAGGAAAGCGGCAGCCCTGAGGACGGGGAATTTAGTGACTGAATTCGAGCATGGATTAAATTCCACCCAGATTTTACACGGAAACGTTCAAAGAGAGACACCTCTGTATGTTTGTAATAATCTAAATTTCTTCCTCAATGTGCGTTCCAGATTCAAATTTCTAAATCCTGATGACATTTTTTAGAGTTTTGAGTTTTCATTGTTGTTTCTCATGTATGCCTAACCAGCAGCTTCGGGCGGATGGCGATGGCGCGGCTACATCGTGCTATAGCTGGCTGCCCGGACTGAGGGAGGCAAAATCTCATATATGTACGTTTACTTATATTTTTTGTCAATCTTTGTTTCGAGATTTTAACCTGAATATTTGGTAAAGATTGGATTTTTACCTTATTAAAATCCCATTATCTTATTCTTTATCAGAGGTGGTTTTTTAGGGTTCATCTGATTTTGTAAGAAGAGCCGATGAACCGTAATTTCAAATCTCTGGCCAGGGCCTGCCGTGCAGTTTTGCCGGGGCATCTGCGACATGCGACCAGCGTCTTTTCCCCGGCTTTTGCAGTGATGTGATTGCCGTAAATTGCGGTTGACCACGTCAAATGGGTTTGTTGTTTCCTGAAAGGCGGTGTGAATTTTTACTATGCTTTAGCAGTGTCATTCTTTATAAATTTTTCCGTACCCTATGCTCTATTTTTTCACTTATTATGCATTTATTGTGTTTTAGTTGTGTTGGCTGGGGGGCTGGGGCATTCTTAATTTGTGTGTGGGGGATTTAAACTGCTCACATAGTTTCTTTATCTTTAATTTCTTCCTTGTCGGGTGGAAGTTGTTGTTTGGCAATTTGCCTGAGTGTTTTGTTTGTGTTGCGGTTCGTGGTCGCATAATAAAGGTGTAGGTTTGTGTTTGCTTGCCTATTGTACATCATAGATTCTTTTTTTACCAATGATTTGGGGCATTTTATAGGTTCTGCATTGTTCAGGAAAAGACAAGGTTTTACAGTAAGGTTTGATTTTCGTGATCCTGAACTTTGTGTTTGAATTAGAGGATTACATTTCTTATGTCCAAGTCAGGATGTGCTTACGGAACTATACACCCATTTTTAATGCATTGGATTTTTGTATCATCGCTGGGGTTTTGGTTTGCCCTGTTCGATCATTTTGCGGTTCATTTTCTTTTCAGTTTATGGAGCGCCTTTGTTTTAATTGGTTCATTGAGCTACTAAATTTTTATGTTTGGGATGGCAGTTTAGGACTATGCCTACACTTTAGGAAGTTAGATTCGGTTGCTGGTATCTCAGCTACTGCTTTAGGTGATGTTGTGACTGGCAGAGTGAAATTAGAGGACGAACTAATAATCATAATCAGTAAAAATGGGCATGTTGTTATTTCAGGAGGGGCAATTTAGGGCCTTGGGTAGGTGGCGTATGGTGGTAGTCTGAAAGCAACTTTGAGGCTTTTCTCGACTTTTGGGATTTCAGTCATGGATTGGCATGGGGATCTTGCTATTGGGTGCAATTCTAAGCCACACATCCCATCGGGCAGTACACGAAAGTTAAACTTTTGGTCGGTCGTCTTAATATTTAAAAAAGGGGGTTCCGGCCAGTTAAACATCAAAATCAATAGTTCTGAGCAGCTGCAGATTGTTTGATTGGCTTGATCCCTTTGGTGAAAAAGTTCATGGGTTATTCTCAACAGGCACAATACGGATAATGATGATGATGAAAGTGGATAGTGCTATTGTAATGGCAGTTGGACAACCTTTGCGGGATCGGTGAACGACATAGGTAATTTTTCATGTTTTATTTTATCTTATTATTATTATTTCTTTTGACAATCCAAGGCTTCGTATATTGAGTGTTTTTAATCTTCTTAAGTTGTAGTTTGAGATAAATGGCTCTATTTAGCTCATTGTTTTTCATCTGCGCTTCATTTCTTCCCTCTCTGTATATATATCATGTTCTTTGATTTATTCCTTATATTAGCTTTAAATGGGTATCTATGAAAGCTTGAGCACTGGGACACATGAGAATAAATTTTCCATTTAATTTTGTGTTTGAAGTCGATTCCAACTGCAATACTCTTCCAGTTTCGGATGCATCTCTTAATAGGAGATTATGCAAAGATTTGAAAGGTGATGAGACTAAAGAATTCACATGCAAAAATGGAATCGACTTCAAACACAAAATAATTAGAGATTTCGGATGTATCTCCTGTTAACGAAGAATTTGGTACATTGCTACACCATTTCTCTGCGAGTAAAGAATTCACAACATCCCAGAAATGCATCTCTCTTTCACCGATGGACTAAGCCACTTTATTAACCTGTGTAATTGTTGATTTTATGGGATGGGTACTAATCTACTGAATGTAACTAAAATTATCAATACCGAATGTAACTAAAATTATCGATTCGTTCAATCGTGATGCTAACCTTTGGGATTTGTGTATACACTTGCATGCCTTAAAATATTTTTTCCTATTGCTCGAATTAAATAATAATTTACAAATCATGATACTAACAACCAAAAATAAAAGTCACGTTCAAAACTAAAGTTTAAAATTAATAATAAACAAAATTCTATCGATTTCATAAACCAGCAAAAAGAAACTATTTACCAAATGAGATACACAACACAAAGGTATAGAATAAGAACACCATTACAACAATATAGAAATAGTCATATCAAACACAACATCCTCAAACCAAGGAATATGCAAGTCTACCCGTCTTTGCACAATCACATAATACAAAAGTAAATGTTGTCCTTCGGACCGTACATTACGTTTCTACATTGAAAATTATTAATTCATTTGACAAGTGACCATCCATTATAAAAATATCCAACTTTATTTCAACAATTTCAAAACAACGAAAATGATAATTTAAATGCTACACAAATTTTTTACCCATAAGTAACTAAATTAAACGATTGAATATAGGCCGGCTGTGCGACTCAAATCTAGTCTTTAGTCGACACTATAGCATAAACTTAAAGCAGTAAAGTTTGATATCATTTTTTTCTAAATTGTAACCGTAAGAGTAATTAATTGTTTCATGTTTAACAAACAGAAACTCGCTACTTGATCCTTCGTTAATTTTGTTTTCATTTCCCGATTGACCGTTGAATTGCTTGACAACTCTTCATTTCCAAAGCTACGCATTCTTTGGTGCTTGAACAATCTGTTGAATCCAAAGGCAAATAACACTTTCGCCGCCGGTCTGGAAGAGGTTTTCCGCGTGGCGGAGGCCCAATTCGGGTCCGGTTCGGACGTGGGTCGGGTTGGGGTACTTCAGCTGCTGGAGCGGGCCCTTGTTGCGAACCCGGGCGCGGACGGCGGCTGGCCGGCGGCGGTGGTGGATGTTGAAGATCATGATCGATCATGGAGCAGCTGCATAGTTTTCCTTTCCTCTGCATGCATTTCTTTGCGTTTTTCTTTCTTTTTTGTTTTTTGTTCATACGGTGTCGTTTTGATAAGACGACACCGTTTTGTTTATTTTCGGTTTATATGGGTTTAATAGTTAACGACGTCGTTTTGATTGGTGTACACGACGTCGTTTTAGGTTGTCGTCTTGCATGATTGAGAGAGCTTTAAATGCTCGACTATGTACGTACTTGTTTTCTGAGTTTGTGAAATGAGCTAAGAAAATTCCCAAAAAGTTTGTTGTTGATTTCATGAGTAAATACGGTTTTTACATGGTATCGAGAGCGATCGGTTCTGGTTGACCTTGTTGATTGACGATTAATGGCGATGAGGCGAGAGAATGCTCTCAATGTTGGAGGATCTGGATTGCGTCAAGGAAATCAGGATCCTTTCTTTCTTCATGGATCGGATAACCCTGGTTTGGTGCTCGTTTCGCATCCGCTGACTGGCAGTAACTTCCTCTCATGGCGCAGATCGATGATGATAGCTCTAGGAGCTAAAAGGAAGCTCGGCTTTATAAATGGTGAGATCTCTGTACCTGCTGTTGATAGTGATGAATATGATGAGTGGAAAAAGGTTGATTGGATGATTTTATCGTAGATTTTAAGTTCTATGTCTAAAGATATTGCCGAATCATTTGTTTATGCTGAAACTTCTAAGGATCTGTGGGATGAAGTGTGTTTGAGGTTTGGAGAGAATAATGGACCGATGAAGTATAAGTTGTAGAGGGAAATTAACACTTTAGTGCAAGGGAATTGCACCGTAATGGAGTATTTTAATAAATTGAAAAAGCTACGGGATGAATATGCATGTGTTGTTCCCACTCAGTTATGCAATTGTGAAGGAAGAATAGTAGCTCAATGAGGGATATGATAGTTTCAAGAACCAAATTATGTTAATTGATCCCTTACCAAGTGTGAACAAAGCTTATTCAATGGCACTCACAGCAGAAAGACAGAAAACTGTGAGTAATTCCTTTGACAGAGTTGAAGGTTTAGCTATGAGCACTAGAGCTGAAGGTTATGGCAGAGGTTTGAATAATCAGGGAAGAGGCTTTGGGGGTAGAGGAGGAAACTTCACAAGTGGAAGAGGTGGTAGAGGTTTTAGAAGAAAGGGCTAAGCTACTATGTGACAAGTGTGGAATGAGAGGTCATACAGTTGCCACATGTTTCAAAATACATGGAGTTCCTGAGTGGTATAAAGAGCTAAAGACACAAGGGATAAACTATGCTGGGAATGTGGAATTGTGTGGTGACAATGCTGACTGGAAAGAAACTATGAATGATAAGAGAAACTCACAGGACAATGATCTCTCCATTGTGGTTAAGCAATTACAGGAACTCACACAATTCATAAAAGGCAAAGAAACTGGAGAAAATAAAGTGGACTTTGCACAAATGGTGAGCTTTACAAAGAAAGATATTAATGATGAGATGCATTTTGCTTTGACTACTGCTAATGATGTCAGTTGCAAGAATTGGGTCATAGACACTGGAGCAAGTAAGCACATGTGTGGAGATTTCAGTGTTATGAGAAACACATATACATTGAAGGATTCAATTACCATTTGTTTACCTGATGGATCAAGCAAGAAAGTGAAAATTGCAGGAATGGTAACTGTGAACAAAGCCTTAACTCTGCACAATGTTCTCTTTGTGCCTGACTTCAAGTACAATTTGCTTTCAGTTAGTCAGCTTTGTATGGATGAGAAAGTGAAGTGTTCATTTTCAGCCAGTTCTTGTCATTTAACTCACTGTGATAGTGGACAATTGGTGGGACAAGGGATTTCAAAAGGAAATCTGTACATACTAAGCAAGGAGAACAATGTACATGCTAATGCTGTGAAAGACAAATTTTCTCTGGAGAAATGACATCAATGCCTTGGTCATGCTAGCATCAGTACCATGAAGCATGTTCAATTTCTCAAGGGCAGATATACAGAACAAGAAGAGAGAAATATCCTATCCTGTGAAGTGTGTCACAAAGCAAAACAGCACAGACTTCCATTTCAAAACAGTTACATACATGCCACCAAGACCTTTGAGATGCTACATGCTGATATCTGGGGACCATGCAAAGAAGAGGCAATAACTGGTACACCTTTCTTTCTAACAATAGTAGATGATTATAGTAGGGGTGTTTGGGTGTTCTTGATGGAACAAAAATCACAAGCCTCTAAACTGTTGAGCAGATTTGTGTTAATGGTAGAAACTCAGTTTGAAACCAAAGTTAAGAAGATAAGAACAGACAATGGAAAGGAATTCTTGGGAAATGAGATTCAAATCTTATTTCAAGGAAAAGGAATTGTCCATGAAACCACCTGTGTCTACACACCACAACAAAATGGTGTGGTTGAGAGAAAGCATAAGCAGCTACTTGAGATTGGAAGAGCATTAATTTACCAAGCTCAATTACCACTAAAGTCCTGGCCTTATTCTATACAAGCTGCAACTTTTGTTATAAACAGGCTACCTAGTGCTCCTCTACAATGGACTACACCTTTTGAGAGAATTTATGGAAAACAGCCAGATTATGAAAAACTCAGACCTTTTGGATGTTTAGCATATGCCACTACAGTTCACCCTCTCAAATCCAAATATGAACCTAGAGGTAGTAAGTGTGTTTTCCTTGGTTTTGCTCCTGGAAACAAAGGATTTCAATTGTATAATTTGGATACTGGGGATTGCTTTATATCCAGAGATGTGATGTTCTTTGATGATGTGTTCCCTCACATAGTCCCAGTTACAGCTGAAGATGTTACACTAAGGGCAGTAGAAGATGACACTTCAGAAGTTGAGATGATTGATCCACTAGTAACAGTTCCTACTGAAAATGATGAGGTCTGAGAAGAAGCAATAGATCAAGAGGAGCACCAAACTGGCACCATGATTATGTTTGTGGAAATTCACTAACTTCACAGAGAGAGTTCTCAGCCAACATTTCACAAGAGAAGGAGCCTGTCCATTATAAACAAGCAGTTCAATCCTTCCTGGGTAGAAGCAATGCAAAAGGAATTGGATGCTTTGGAGGCTAATCATACTTGGGAAATCACTGAACTTCCACATGGCAAGAAAGCAATAGGAAGTAAATGGGTATATAAAATTAAAAGGAAGGCAGATGGATCTGTTGAGAGGTTCAAGGCCAGACTTGTGGCTAAGGGATACAGCCAAATAGAGGGGATACACTACTTTGATATTTTCTCACCTGTGGCACGGTTGGTGACTGTAAGGTTTTTCATTGCTGTAGCAATACACAAAGGATGGCCAATTCATCAGTTAGATGTAAACAATGCTTTCCTTCATGCACACTTTCTGAAGAAGTGTTTATGCAGCCACCTTTGGGTTATGAAACGGTAGGTCCAGGTCAAGTATGCAAACTGATTAAGAGTTTATATGGCCTCAAACAAGCATCAAGGGAATGGAATAATGAACTATGCAACAAACTGTCTCACTATGGGCTGATTCAGTCCAACTATGATCATTGTCTGTTTACCACTACCAGAGGATTAGATTTCTTGGCATTATTGGTATATGTGGATGATGTCTTAGTCACAAGTTCATCTTTACCTCTGACTCAAAGCTTGAAGAACTTCCTTGATGAGCAGTTCACCATCAAAAAATAAAAAATATTTTTTAAAACTGGATGTAATTCAAAAAATATTTCATAAACTGAAAAGACAAATCAATAAAAGTAACTCCAAGAATATGGTGCAAATTCATTTGATAATAAAGCTGAGTAAATGTTGATGCGATCAACATATTTACCAGTTTTGATAAAATGCGTGATCCTGTCGATAGAAAATTGGAGAATGGCCTTCGACGAACATGATACCAGTTTAGAAAATTCAGGCTTTCCTCGACCGACTTTGGTGAATGTCGCATTGAAACTCATTTTTCTAGCATCAATTTGATTAGGTAGCAATCTACAAACCTAAAACTGGTAGAGAGAGGAAATTGAATTTTGTGAAGTGAAATTGGTTGTGCTCTTCTATGGAGAGAAATATTCGGGGCAAATTTTTGTTTGTTCTTGTTAGGATATAACTTGTGAGTTAACCCACATCATCTATACATAAAAAATAGACCCACCTTATAAGTCTAATGGGCTACTCCTCATTCCATCAATTGGTTTGTGTTCTCTGAATGTCTATATATTTGTTCCTTTAGTTGGTCAAGCTTTGTTGGCTGTGTTACAAAGACAATTCTAGAGGTACCGTTCGAGTCTTAACAACCGTCTAGTGTGATTATTACATGTGCTTACTAATGACACTTTCTGAAAATTGGTTACCCCTAACTGAATCTAAAATGGAAAGTTAGATCCTTCCCGTGTGATTGATATGTATGTGTGGACTGTGGTCATTTCTTAAGCATTCCTTTTATTCGATGATAGTTTATTTATTGTGTAAGCCACCCATTTAATTCAACTAACTTGATTACAGCGTTTTAATTGTCAGCTCATTAATATGTTTGAAATCCAATAAAAATATATTTTTGACTGGGGGGGTTCTGCATGTCTTTCAGGCAAGAAGATGCTCAGGAGTTTCTAAGCTTTGTCATGCATCAAATGCATGATGAATTGCTTAAACTTGATGCACAAGTTTCAAATGGGAATGGAGAAACTGCATCGTTGGTCTCTTCAACTGATGACGAAAGTGAGGATGACGATTGGGAGACTGTTGCCCAAGAAACAAAACTGCAGTTACACGAGCTCAGAGTTTCGTACCATCAAAGTTGAGTAACATTTTTGGTGGTCAATTGAAAAGTGTTGTGAAGGCAAGAGGTGGGTCAGGGTTTTGAACACACAATTTACCAAGTATACATTCAAACATTTCATCATTAATCATTCATTTATTACTTTGACTTTGCAATGATTTCAATCATGGGAATGTTAGCTACTCAGATTCGATCATTTGTCAAACTGAATTAGGTCAGATAATCTGTGTAAGGCTGTGATCTGATTTATCAAAACAATGATGTAAATTTGACAGTTGGGAAGCACTTCATGATGCATAATGTGATTTATCTCGTAGGTTTTAGAATTTTTAATCACATAAAATAAGTAACCTCTGAAACTGTAGATAATGTTTTAGTGACTCCAATCTGTTCTGACCTCATCTCTAGCTAATATTCTTGTTGCCACTTGCCAGTCAATTTATATGTACCATTCACAACTTTCATCTTGTATTTAAGCAGGTAACAAGGCATCAGTTACCATACAGCCATTTCTTTTGCTCCACCTTAATATATGCCCTGAACAAGTGTGTACAATAGAAGATGCACTTAAGTTGTTCTCTGCACCAGAAACACTTGAAGGGTACAGAACATCTGCTTCTGGAAAGGTTCGTCTTATTTTATGTGTTCCCTTTCCTTTTTGACACATTGATATTATTGTAGGGCTTCCAATAGTTTTGTTGTGGAATGATTTCCTCTTTTGCTTTATTTTTGTATTTCCGTTTCTCGTATTCTGTATGCTACATAGAAGTGAGATTTTTGCTTTAAGTAATCCATTGGAAGAAAATGTTTAGCACATCGATTGTCGGTACCTTCTATGGCGTTAGGGGTAGTTATCTATTTTTTCATGTGAAAACCTCAGAGTTTGCTATGAAGAACCATGCCATGTAGATTACCCATTTAGATTCAACTATGATTTTAATATTCAGGGAGAGGTGGTGACTGCCAGCAAGTCGGTCAAGATTCTGGAGCTGTCCCAGATAATGATTTTGCACTTGATGCGTTTTAGTTATGGGAGCCAAGGAAGCACGAAATTGCACAAAAGTGTGCATTTCCCTTTGGAGTTTCTTGTTGGTCGTGAGTTGCTTGCCTCTCCTTCCTCTGAGGTGAATTTTCTTTGAAGTGCCTGCTTCCTCTTTATCTTGTTAAATCACATGGCAATTATTAATACTGACATTTATATCCTTTTTTTTTTTACATTTTGATTGTGTATACTGTTTCCTTTCCTTTCGAAAAAGCTCTTCGTTTCTGCATTTTAATTTATTTTTTGATCTTATATATGTTTATGCTGTCAACCACTCACAGTTTCAAGCAAATGCTTATTACCTGAGAAGGAAAGGAAAACAAACATTCTTTTGAGGCAAAATCAAATTGTTGAGAAGTTGTGTTTCAGTTTCAAAACAAAAAAAATTGGCTGCATAATATGCCACTTTTCTCCTCAAATACTCACTTTTTAGCTTTTGTTGACATAACATTGAACCACTCAGTTTTTTAAGAAATGTATGTTTTTCACTAACCTTATTAGATGCATTTATCGTTTACGACTTCCTATTGTCATTCGATCATTCCGCAGTTCTCGAGGGTTCACTACCTGTCATGATAAATATTACATTCCATTATGATGCTAAATTAAACAATATTTTTTAGACGTAATCTTCTCTAATAGCCTATATTCTGTTTTTTTGTGGTATAGGGTAGAATTTCAGTATATTTTCTTATCATTTTCATTTCATGTACTCTCGAAATTCATCCTCTCCACCTAACATCTACTCTTTCTCTAAATGGAATTGTATCTGATACCTCCCTTTTACTGGATAAACTGGATTAAAATTGGAGATGTGTTTGGGTCTTGAATATATTATAATAGACTATCCAAATTAAATGAGAATAATTCTCACTGTGCTTCAATTATCAGGGCCTAGAGCATGAGATGATGCAAAGAACAACATTATTATTTTTACCTGTAAACTGTAAATGGGTCGTTTCTACGATATCTTTCTTTCAACTTCATCTTATTTTTGCTTTTGGCATCCAAAATTTTACTTCATCGAAAAATGGCATAAAGTTAAGGAAAAAAATATGAAAAAATTTGAAGATAATATCATTTCGAATTGAAAGCTCACATGAGTTCAAAACATCAAATTAATTAAGGCTTATTGGCTTATTGCTGCCCATGAAAGAGGAACAAACGAGAGTTCACACATCAAATTGGACAACCGAATTACTAGAAATCGTTGGTTGAAGTATTCGTCCCACAGTCTCGCACTATTGGAAATCTAGAAACTTTCACTTGTGTTTTCCTGACTATTTAAAAGTCCAATCAATGACCAGGATTTACCGTTGGATTCTTTATGAAAAGAGTTTTCTATACATATAAATTTCACAAATATCTAACGATTAGGTCTCTAGTGATATTCAAAAACAATTCACTACATAATTCTTTAATTTTTCGAAACTCTAATAAAGTTTTGACAAAGTTTGAGGTATTATATGATGAAATTAAACATATCTTTGGGTAGATCTCGACAGCTTCGTAGATCGAGTCGAGAGCTTCAACATGATATATGATTGCTAAAATTCACTAATAGTAGACAAACGACGAACGGCGGCTAATGGTGTGTGTGTGTGTGTGGTGTGTGAGAGATAGGGGTTGTGTGTGTTGGTGTGTGAGAGAGGATATGGTCGTGAATGGGTGGGGTGGGGCCATGGGTGTATGAGGATTGTGAGTAATGTCCATAATTCCCTTAATGAATGTAAAAAAATTGTTTGTTTTCTAATCGTTGGATCATTCGATCTGATGGCTACGCTTTATTCTTATTTTGAGCACTATTCTCACCAAAGCGCAACCCTATATATATAACCTAGTTTAATAACAAAATCACTCAGGATATAATTTAATAAGTCATACCAGACAAAAAGTACACTACAAACATAAATTTCAAATTGCAATAAAAGTTTTGCAAACACTGATGCATGTTGAAATAAAATTGCATCGAATAGGAATACTGAGAATATAAAATCTGCTCTCAAACACACTGAAATCAACAATCTTGTCTCTAGAGAAGATAGTGTAGGAGAAAATAAAAAAGCAGTGGTTGGTAAAAAGAAAAACACAGTACTCCTAGAAATATTCGAGAAGTTCCCAAAGCTAAATTTACTGCTTTCACGAGCTCAGCTGCCTCAAGTTGTACTTGGCCAATTCTTTGTACTTCTCCACTACTCCAATCAAGCACACAGTCTGAAGAAAAAAGTGTACGCATCATTTAATATACAATAAACAAGAGATAAAGTTACATTAGACTCAAGCGTGCGGTTATGATGAATTTCCCAGATTAGCCAGCTCCATCACTTTGGGTGTGAATATGATTATTTTTAAGAACGAGGAACTTTTGTGTTACGGAATTTGAATCTTTTTTTTTATTTTTTTTTTCCATCAATCAACAATTTAAAATAAAAAAGAAATAGTTAGGGGAAAAAAGTGGGGGCAGTGCATATAGATGAGAAAATCTGAGAGGCATGCCAAGGATGGTTGGACATATTGATATGACGCCTTTATATGGTGTAGAGTATGTAAGGAAAGGAATCACTCATACACGTTGAACAATGCAAGATGTCCAAAGAATTGAAATTAAAAATAAACTAACAAAGCCATGTTATATCTATACGTAAAAGAAGATACGACATCTCGACTGGAAATGGTGTCATGATATAAACCAACATAGCCTAACCACACCAAGAGGCAAGGGCTTTTCTTGTAGCTATTGAGAATTAATAAAAAAAAATATTTCCTCTTACCTTGACTACTTGGACCATTATGTAAAAATCAGGATTAGACAGATCAACTTTATGCAGAGATGGAACGGTCTTGGCAACAGTGTCAATAATTTTGGCCCGATCAACACCAGTATTTGCGCGAGCATCATACAACACTGCAAACTGAGATGAATAATGATCAACAGTGATATTTATTATTATTATCATTATTATTATTATTAATTTATTATTATTATTATCTCACTTGGTTAATTTTATTACAGCAAGGCATGCGGCTAATGCACCAACAATCTACTAATATAATTTTCTTTTTTTGCATTTATGAATGTCAACTTTCATAATTTAATCAGAATTTTAACTGTTGAAGGATGTTTGGTTTGGATCTTTATTTTTTCTAATAGTTCTGAATTTTGCACACAGAGTACTCTTACAATACAACTTTAATTCACGAAAACAATATTCACTAGCTCAAGTTTGAGCTGCTAATTTTCAAACACTGCCAACTTCAGATTTTTGAAAATCTTTCCCTCTTGCTTCAAAAAATCACCACCTCCAAAAGCAAAGCTTTTGCAGAAACTCACTAAAGAGAAGTAGGCAATTATTTGCAATAAATAATGCCTAAGATTTTCCCTGGCTAAGTTCATTCACAGAGATAGAACCCTCTCAATCAATTGTGGTGGTTATTCTTTTGATTGCTGAACGAAACAAAATTAATGCTCAAAATTTAACAGTCTTACCTTACGCGGGGCCTCAGTTTCGACTGGAAAATGCTTCTCAATCAGAGGCTTTATGGCTCGTTTGATTTCCTCCTCCGACGTGTAGCATGATACTTCAACTGGAAGCACTCTCAACAGAAACCTGTTTTTATGACAGAATTTATGACACATTATATAGAGTGTTGACACTATACTTCGGGAGAAAAATAATTGGGTTCAAAGAAGAAGACATGAAAGCAGAAGAACCTGGATATGTGTTTCTTGGTTGAAGCAAGAGAAGTCATCATATGTTGGACAATTTCCTTTGGGCTTGGATCTCTCTCTCTCTTGTGCATTTGAATAAAGACAACACCATTACATCCTGTGTCGAGCTTACTAAAACGCCTCTGCTTAAACAAAGCCCATGAATCTATTATATTAGCCCATGTAATATGCCTGACCATTAAGGGAGAATATAACAGTACAAGGCTTAAGAGTCAAAGCACATTAAAGACTTATTTTGAATTATAGCTTTCGTTTAACAAACTGTTAAAAGAAATAAGTGTTCTATGAATGCACTATGCAAAAAGTTGAACAGTATAGTCATAAATCAGAAAATAATACACCAACTGTACCAATATCAAGACTTTGGGATTTGCAGTTAAATAACACCAGAGGTCCATCCTTTTATACTCGAAAATATTCTAGCTTTATCATTGAAAAATACAATATACCCCTTAAGTTGCTAACTGCAGTCATTATTAACCAATTGAAATAAACGCTGAAACCCATTTTTTGTTGTGTTTTAATTAACACAACAGAAGTCCACATAAATATGTGTATAAATGAAATAACAAACAAGACTCGATCGACAAAAAAAAAAAGCATAAGTTCGGCCAAAGAAGAAAACAAACACAACATTCACATTCAAACTCACCTTGCTCTTATCTCCTAATTCGGCTAGCTCAGCCTCAATTAGCCTATCAACAGATTTATCTTCAACACACTGTCTCTTTACAGGTGGTTCCACAGCTTCTATTTCTGTTTTTTCACGAACATCAGCTACTTTCTCTTTCTCTTCCTGTGCTGTTTTCTCAAGGGACACATCATCTTTAATTTCAGCCCCATTCTTTTCATTTCCATCGCCACTTGACATAACAATATTTTTGTTATCAGCCTCATCGCCCTCTGTAACTTCATCCTCATCTTTTTCATCACTGGATGAATCTGAGTACGAGAACTTTGTTATTTTGTTCACAGGCTTTCCAGATAGCTCGTCATGTCCAGCTTTTGGTTCGCTACCCTCCATAAGCTCTTCGTAAAACTGCAGAACTCAAGGATTATGTTAAGGATAAAGTCTTGTTTCACTTCATTCAAGCTCCAAAGAAAAGAAAAGAATCAAATGAATCATAAGCCTCTAAAATTTATATTCAAGGTAGAAATTACAAATCAAAGAATTAAACTTTTACCCTAGGGGGAACACATAAACAATCAAAATGAAGGCAAAATATGAGATAAATTAAGGAAAAAATTAGAGTCTACTGATAAAACTAATCATTCACGGAAAACTAAATGCGAAAAGGATTTTAATTCAGGACATTTTATTTTATCAGCAATTAATAGTGGAAGGGGACAAAGGGGCGATATTAGAAACTTCAAAATTTTAACCATTTAAACTGACCAACCAAAGAAAACAACGACATAGTTAAGGCTGTTAAATTCAGGCAACAGACGAAATCGAAAATTCCTAGAGCGCTGCTAAGCTCGGGCACGCACAGAGTCGATAACATTGATGGCTTCATGCGAAGCTTGGCGTTCTCTCCCACCATCACACGTTATGAAGAACCCCTCAACGCCAGGACGTAAGGGGTAAGATCCCTTTTTGATTGGCTTCTGGAAAAAAAATGGGAATCATTTAAAAATATTCTTGTTAGCTGACAGTTGTATGAATGAGTGGAAAAATTAACACAGCATAACGAAGCAGAGAGGTTACATTGTGAGGCAGGTAATTCTTTCTTTTCTTGTTATTTTTGTTGCAGTTGCTTGCCTTGGATTTGTTCTCGGTCGCCATTGAAGGAGTTACACGGAGAGTGAAGAGAGAAGCTTTCGAACTGTTGAGCAGTTGAGGTTTACTGTGGGGTGGGTTAATATTGGGCTTGTGTATGGTTTGATTCACTAGACATAAAGCCCAATGACCATCCTCTTTTACCCGAGAAAAAAAGGCTCTTTTACATTCGTATCGTGGCTATACATAGGGCTGCAAACGAGCTGAGCCTATTCGAGCATTGGCCTTATCGAGCATGATTGATTTTTTATAGCTGCTCGAGCTCGATTTATGAGGCTCGAGGGATAAAAAATTACAATAACTCGAGCTCAACTCGAAATCAAAATGCTCGAGCACGGCTCAAGTTTGGCTCGAAAATTTTTAAGTAAAAAAGTAAACTTACCATTAAGCACCTATGCTAATATATATATATAGAGGGTATTTTAGTAATTTAGCATGTATCTCGAGCCGCTCGACGATGCAAAATATGAGCTCAAGCTCGACTCGAGTTCGTGCTTGAGCCGCTCAAGCTTGACTCGAGTTCAGTCAAACTCAAGCTCGAGTCGAGCTTTGACTCGAGCGCTCGCGAGCCACTGGTTTCGTTTGCAGCCCTAGCTATAAATAAAAAAATGCAAGTTTACATAATTCTAAAGTTATTTACAAATCACACATGTACTAAAATAGAGAAAAATAATTAGATAATTACAAAATGCCAAAACACTGCATTAAATAAATAGTTCCCCAACTAAAATGCGTAATTTAATGGTTGCACCATAATAAAAGTGAAAACCATAATTGAAAGTATTTACCTAAAAAAATCATGACTAAAAATGCTCTCTCTCTCTCTCTCTCTTCTATATGTTGTGTGAAATTGAGTTGGCAGGAGCGGACGGCAAACTCCAGGCCATCGTAGAAGAGGTCGTCCAAGAGGTTGGTGGAGGGTCGGGGTCGAGGTAGCCTAATCAGTAGAAGTAGGACTTGAGTCGGTCCAGGTTGGCGGTATTCTCGCCTTCTTGCAGCCAATGAGTTTGGCGGATGCGGGATGAGGGAAGAAGGGATGACAGTGATGTTTGGGTAGAAATTGGCAGCAGCGGGGCAGATGTCGATGGAGAAGACGACATCGATAAGGAGAGAGAGAGAGAGAGAGAGAGAGAGAGAGAGAGAGAGATGGCCGATAAATTCCATTGGCTAAAGAATATTTTCAGTATGTATTGTGTTTATAGTCAGTATATTTTCAGCTTATGTTGCGCTTTTATTTATATAACATTTATCGAATCACAATTGTGATGTTTGGATTTTTATTTATATTTTTTAATTATTTTTATACCAACAATCTATACAACATTGACATATAAAACACTTTATAAGTACTTTTTTCAGGATGTTAATACACACATATAATATTATAATTTTTTTTTGTTCAACCAAATTTATGTTTATACTTGATTTATAATATTTAACTATGTATATAACACACACACACACACACACACACACATATATATATATATATATAAAAGCACTAATGGTCTACCGACTGTTCACGTACAGCCGACTCAAATTTAGTCTTTTCTCGACACTATAGCATAAAGCAGTAAAGTTTGATATCATTTTTTTCTAAATTGTAACCGTAAGAGTAATTGTTTCATTGTAACAAACAGAAACTCGCTACTTGATCCTTCGTTAATTTTGTTTTCATTTCCCGATTTACCGTTGAGTTGCTTGACAACTCTTAATTTCCAAAGCTACGCATTCTTTGGTGCTTGAACAATCTGTTGAATCCAAAGGCAAATAACACTTTCGCCGCCGGTCTGGAAGAGGTTTTCCGCGCGGAGGCCCAATTCGGGTCCGGTTCGGACGTGGGTCGGGTTGGGGCACTCCAGCTGCTGGAGCGGGCCCTTGTTGCGAACCGGGGCGCGGACGGCGGCTGTCCGGCGGCGGTGGTGGGAGGGGTGGTGGGGTGCCTGCGGGNCATCGGGGAGGGGGAGGGAGCACGCGATGAGCGTGCTGGCGGTGGTCTACGGCGGGCGGGGAAGAGGAGAGGCGGCGGTGGCTCCGGCGGAGGAGGTAGCGCGTGCGGTGGCGCTGGCGCTGCAGGGGGAGTGCAGCGCGAGGGGGAGGCGAAAAGGTGCCCAGCTGCTAAGGATACTTGAGGGAAATGGACGGCCGGAGATGGGGGAGGACGGCAGATGATCCGACGGCCTAGATTTCGTAGTGTTATTTTTATTTTTTAATTTGCTGATCAAAGTTTGTCAGATGAAATAATGATTTGACTGTGGTGCTCCTGTGTAATATCTGAAAACAATAACGTGAATAAATGTGCGGTTGTTCCCTTTTCTTTTTTTTCCTCTTTTCATTTTTGTAGAAAAGTAATTTTAGTACATGATTTTGTATATTGCAATCTGAATCACTCCAATAATTCTCCCCTTTTTCTCAAGACTTCATTTGATTATTTTTATTTTATATCACAATTTTTGCAAAATTAAATAAATACTTTTGTTTATTTTCATTCTCACAATATAACTCATTTTGAAAGAACACGTATATGTCATTAACCTGACTAATATTACAAATTTTTGTGTCACTTCACTAATAATGTAAATTTCTATTTAGGTCAATGCTTTTTATAGTACGACATGTCCATTTGAAAATATACGTATCTACTAAAAATACATAATTGTTTGTCGTTAGATCTGCATAACACAAACAGATATATGCACAAACAAATGATTAATAGACTTATTCGTTAATTTTTATTTAATAATCCATAATCTTTTCCTTGCCTAACTCAAATCAAAGTCAAAATTCACATCTACAAACACTTCAAAACATTTTTTTTCCGGCCCCAAATTTAACCACTCTTGTAATGACTAAAACAATACAACTAATTAATCTCACACAACGTATCCAAAATACATATCTAATCAATCTTTATTCTACACACACAATCACACACACATTTAACCTTTCCTTTAGTCCGTTGATGAAGAAGAATATCTACAAACCCGAGCTTCACCATAAACAAGCCCACGCCTGCAAAAATACCCATCCTTAGGGCTACAATGCCTATCCTCGGAGCAAACACACCCACCTTCCAAAGCACACCCATCACCACTCTCCAAAAAACCGTTTTCCCCGAACAATATCTCGTCCGACCACCCGCCCGAGAACACATTTTCCGGGTCGAGCATTTTCTTAGCCTTCAAAAACTTCCCGAAGCCCGCGTACTTTCTCCTCACATCAATAAATGCGACGTTCCTATTCTTGGCCCAATGCGGCTTGGCCCCATACTTGAAAAACGCCATTTGCTCGATTTCTTCGTAAACGTCTTGATTCAACCTCGGGGTCGACTTTGTGTCGGCCATGAAGTAGTTGAAATCGACCGCAACCGAGTCCTCGTCTTGCCCTAAGTATGCCGTGGATTTCTTCACGAAGCGTATCAATAAACCATTGTACATGTCGAGGCCGCAAAAGTTGTCGAGATTTAGGTCGCGCAGTTTTCTCACGCCGCGTATGAAGTTGGCGAATTTCGAAGGTTGGAATATGGCGGTCGACTCGAAGAAGAATAGGCCATTGATTCTCGGGTCCCAAGAACACGCGGCGGACTTGATTGTCTCGGGAGAGTATAGGCACGAGCCCAAGGTTTGCATTTGGGCTTGGTGACCGATGACCGGGTAGCCGTTGAAGATTAGTTTGTTGTTTTTTAGGCCGTTGGCCGTCAGTTTCTTGTACGTTTGTACGCGAGGAAGGAGGTCGCGAGTAGGCATTTGGCCTTCGCATCTCGGGTTTCCTCCGCTGCTTTTTCTGCATCGATTATCGGAGAGAAAGAAAAGGTTTTTCAACATGATATATACAAGCTACTTTAAGATTCATATATTTAGCACCATATGTTAGTTCAACTTGATTCTTCTACACCCATACATGAAGTTTAGGAAGTCTTAAACAAAGTCATAATCATGGCATGTTAGATAAATAGTGAGAGCAATGTATTTACTATTTAGTACACTTGTAAAGAAAATCATGTAACTATAAACATTTACCCGAAGCTCGAATTGTTTGGGTTGCAATGGTGGGATTTGATTGAAATCCTATAAAATCATTGACTCCATCTCCGGACGCATTCAAAGGAAGACGATTGTCGTATCTGTAAATTGCGATACGTCTTGACGGGTACCATTGGATGTCGCCAAACTCGTGTTTCTTGGCGTGCTCCATGAACTCGCCCTCAATACCATCATCGTTCGTGAAGTTGTACGTGATGCTTCTTTTAAACCCGCGTTCTAACGCGAATGTCACCTAGAAAAAAAATCATAATTTTATCGAATTTTATTGAGAACAAAAAAAAAAAAAGAGGTGTAAATTTTGACAATTTAATTTGATGGTTGATTAAGAATATAAGAAAGGTCTTTGCACTAGGGTTCCTTTATGATGATTAGTTTTATCCTAACAAAAATTATAGGTTTATGATTTGAGGACAAAATAAACAATAAAAAAGTAAATCATTAATTTATTTGAGAAACTGAAATATTTACTGTTAATTCAACTTTATGCAGAGATGGAACGACTCGTGTTTGGACTCGTTTCATTTTCATTTCTTTTGTGAAGGTGGGACGAGGAAAGTTGTGCTTGTGCATTCTGAGAATTAGCTGCAAGCTTGGTCTAGTAGGGCGTTTCGCTGCTGGCCATTTCAGGGATTTCTCATTGAAGGTTAAATACCCTACTGGTATTATGTTGATAACTAGTGCAGCGGTGCCTTTAGTTTTATAAAGTTGATTTTGTTTTTTTAATATCTGTAGGAGCAAGGAGCAAGAGGCAGGTGCCTCTGCACAGCTCCTGAGCCAGATCTGTTCGAAGAGCTTGGTGTTTGGTGTTGAAGTGGGTAATCTTGAAACGGATCCAAGAGAACAAATCACTCTTGGCTGAGATGGAGGGTGAGGCTATGTCTCAAGAAGATCAGCGAGCCTGTGCGAATTGGAGGAGGAAAACGTGGCCTCCTTAATTGAGGAAAAGAAGGAAACTGAAACTACCATCGTTGAACTAAATTGAGGAAAACGTGGCTCCTCCTTTAGTTCAACGATGGTGGTTTCAGTTTCCTTCTTTTCCTCAATTAAGGAGGCCACGTTTTCCTCCGCCAATTCGGCACAGGGCTCGCTGATCTTCTTCAGACATAGCCTCACCCTTCATCTCAGCCAAGAGTGATTTGTTCTCTTGGATCTTCGTTTCAAGATTACCCACTTCAACACCAAGTTCTTCGAACGGATCTGGCTCAGGAGCCGTACAAAGGCACCTTTGCTCCTACAGATATTAAAAAAACAAAATCAACTTTATAAAACTAAAGGCACCGCAGCACTAATTATCAACATAATACTAGTAGGGTATTTAACCTTCAATGAGAAATCCCTGAAATGGCTGGCAGCGAAACGCCATACCAGACCAAGCTTGCAGCTGATTTTCAGAATGCACAAGCACAACTTCCCTCGTCCCACCTTCACAAAAGAAATGAAAATGAAACGAGTCCAAACACGAAAATACTATTATAATGACTTATTAGATGCCATTATCTTCCTCGAATCCCGAACCCTCGAATCCAGCCCCAGGATCCGCTTCGTCGACATCTTGCGTGCCGAGCCCCCGTCGGGCCCTTATCATCCTTCCAAATTCATCGAGAGCCACAAGGATCACGTCCAAAACGAGGCCGCCAAATTGTTCGGGGGCCCGGGCCCGAACACCCGGCTCGCGGGATTCGTGGTGGACATTTTCTGCACGAGCATGGCCGACGTGGCATGATTGGACAGATCAACTTTATGTAGAGATGGAACGGTCTTCGCAACAGTGTCAATAATTTTGGCTCGATCGACACCAGTATTTGCGCTAGCATCACACAACAATCACACAACAGTGCAAACTGAGATGAATAATGATCAAGAGTGATATTTATTATTATTATTATCTCACTTGGTTAATTTTATTACAAGAAGGCATGCGGCTAATGCACCAACAATCTACTAATATAATTTTCTTTTTTTGCATTTATGAATGTCAACTTTCATGATTTAATCAGAATTTTAACTGTCGAAGGATGTTTGGTTTTGGATCTTTATTTTGTCTAATAGTTCTGAATTTTGCACAGAGTAATCTTACAATACAACTTTAATTCATGAAAACAATATTCACTAGTTCAACTTTGAGCTGCTAATTTTCAACCACTGCCAACTTCATATTTTTTAAAATCTTTCCATCTTGCTTCAAAAAATCACCACCTCGCAAAAGCAAAGCTTTTGCAGAAACTCACTAAGAGAAGTAGGCAATTATTTGCAATAAATAATCCCTAAGATTTTCCCTGGCTAAGTTCATTCACAGAGATAGAACCCTCTCAATCAAAACTTACAATCCTGGTGGTTACTCTTTTGATTGCTGAATGAAACAAAATTAATGCTCAAAATTTAACAGTCTTACCTTACGCGGGGCCTCAGTTTCGACTGGAAAATGCTTCTCAATCAGAGGCTGTATGGCCCGCTTGATTTCCTCCTCTGATGTGTATCATGATACTTCAACTGGAAGCACTCTCAACGAAATCTGTTTTTATGACAGAATTTAAGACACATTATTAGACTGTTGACACTACACTTCGGGAGAAAAAAAAATTGGGTTCAAAGAAGAAGAAATGAAAGCAGAAGAACCTGGATATGTGTTTCTTGGTTGAAGCAAGAGAAGTCATCATGTTGGACAATGTCCTTTGGGCTTGGATCTCTCTCTCTCTTGTGCATTTGAATAAAGACAACACCATTACATCCTGTGTCGAGCTTAGTAAAACGCCTCTGCTTAAACAATGCCCATGAATATATTAGCCCATGTAATAAGCCTGACCACTAGGGGAGAATATAACAGTATCAAAGCACATTAAAGACTTATTTTGGATTATACCTTTCGTTTAACAAACTGTTAAAAGAAATAAGTGTTTTATGAATGCACTATGCAAAAAGTTCAACAGTATCGTCATAAATCAGAAAATAACACACCAACTGTACCAATATCAAGACTTGGGATGTGCAGTTAAATAACACCAGAGGTCCATCCTGTAATACTCGAAAATATTCTAGCTTTATCATTGAAAAATACAATATAACCCCTTAAGGTGCTACCTGCAGTCATTATTAACCAATTGAAATAAACGCTGAAGCCCATTTTTTTTTGTTGCATTGTAATTAACCCAACAGTAGTCCACTTAAGTTATGTGTATAAATGAAATACCAAACAAGACTCGATCGACAAAATTTTTTTAAAAAAGCATAAGTTTGGCCAAAGAAGAAAACAAATACAACATTCACATTCAAACTCACCTTGCTCTTATCTCCCAATTCGGCTAGCTCAGCCTCAATTAGCCTATCAACAGATTTATCTTCTACACATTGGCTCTTTACAGGTGGTTCTTCAGCTTCCATTTCTGTTTTTTCACGAACATCAGCTAGTTTCTCTTTCTCTTCCTGTGCTGTTTTCTCAAGTGACACATCATCTTTAATTTCAGCCCCACTCTTTTCAGTTCCATAGCCACTTGACGTAACAATATTTTTGTTATCAGCCTCATCACCCTCTGTAATTTCATCCTCCTCTTTTTCACTACTGGATGAATCTGAGTACGAAAACTTTGTTATTTTGTTCACAGGCTTTCCAGATAGCCCCTCATGTCCAGCTTTCGGCTCTGTACCCTCCATAAGCTCTTTGTAAAACTGCAGAACTCAAGGATTATGTTAAGGATAAAGTCTTGTTTCACTTCATTCAAGATCCAAAGCAAAGAAAAGAATCAACTGAAACATAACCCTCTAAAATTGATATTCAAAGTAGAAATTACAAATCAAAGCATTAAGCTTTTACCCTAAAATTTATATTCAAAGTAGAAATTACAAATCAAAGCATTAAGCTTTTACCCTAAAATTTATATTCAAAGTAGAAATTACAAATCAAAGCATTAAGCTTTTACCCTAGGGGAACATATAAACAATCAAAATGTAGGCAAAATATGAGATAAATTAAGGAAAAAATTAGAGTCTACTGATAAAACTAATCAATCACGGAGAACTAAATATGAAAAGGATTTTAATTCAGGACATTTTATTTTATCAGCTGTTAATAGTGGAAGGGGACGAAGGGGCGATATAGAAACTTCAAAATTTTAACCATTTAAACTGACCAACCCAATAAAACAACGACATAGTTAAGTCTGATAAATTCAGGCAACAGATGAAATTGAAATTCCTAGAAAACTGCTAAGCTCGGGCACGCACAGAGTCGATAACATTGATGGCTTCATGCGAAGCTTGGCGTTCTCTCCCACCATCACACGTTATAAAGAACCCCTCAACGCCAGGACGTAAGGGGTAAGATCCCTTTTCGATTGGCTTCTGCATTTAAAAATATTCTTGTCAGTTGACATTGTATGACTGAGTGGAAAAATCAACACAACATAACGAAGCAGGGAGGTTACATTGTAAGGCAGGTAATTCTTTCTTTTCTTGTTATTTTTGTTGCAGTTGCTTGCCTCGGATTTGTTCTCGGTCGCCATTGAAGAAGTTACAGGGAGAGTGAAGAGAGAAGGTTCCGAACTGTTGAGCAGTTGAGGTTTTCTGTGGGGTGGGTTAATATTGGGCTGTGTATGGTTTGATTCACTAGACATAAAGCCCAATGACCATCCTCTTTTATTGGAGAAAAAAATGCTCTTTTACATTTGTATTCGGGCTAACCCTAGCGAGCTTCGGGCTAAACGATCCGAGCTTAAAAAGTCCAAATTTAAACAGGCTATCAAAAAAAGGACCTAATTCTAAACCTAGCGGGCTATGGTAATAATAATAATAACAATAATAATAATAATAATAATAATAATAATAATAATAATAATAATAATAAATTACACACCTAGTTAACGATTTTTTTCAACGGCTATTTAGTATTTACCACTATATATATATAACTACACTTCATATATGAACACGCATTACAAACTCTTAAATAACATATAGTTTCTCAATAGAAAAAAAAATGTTGGCACTATTACTTATAACTACCATTTGACTAGTTATTTGTAAGCTTCGGGAATTTTCACAATATAGCATAATGTTGAATTTAAATTTTATCACTATATTCTATGTATTAGGTATTTGTCTCATTTGTTTTTTATTAGCCGTTCTAATTGGCTTAAATATTTTGCTGTGAAATAGAATAAAACTTGTTAGTACTTATCTATCAAAATCTATCTATATCTATAGTAATATAAAGAGGTTGTTGGAAAAATACTTTTATAGTAAGTTTGACTAAAAGATAAATGGTTTGACTTACTATTAGTGGAAATTTCGAAAAAAACACATGTACCAAAAAAATTGAGATTTTTATGGTAACAAATTTGGAGATTTTTATGGTAACAAATTTAATTGAGATATCCCCATAAAAATTGGAGATTTTTATGTTAACAAATTTAGAGATTCCTATTCCAAAATTTAATTCATTTTAAATATTAATCCATAGGAATCTACTTTTATTGGTAACAAATTTGAAGATTGTTATGCCAAAAAATTGAGATTTTGAATTGAGATATTCCAACAATTACGGATTTTTTCCATTCAAATTAATGTTGTAAATCAAACAAAAAATTATTCCAAAAATAATGGATGTTATACCAATTATTGATAAACTCCAATCCCATAGGAGATTTCTATAGGATTCTTATGTTAACAAATTTGAGATTCTTATGACAAAAAATTGAGATTTTGAATTGAGATATCCTAACAATTTCGGATTTATTCCCCTTCAAATTCATGTTGTAAATCAAACAAAAAATTATTCCTTGAATAATGGATGCTATACTAAATATTGATAAATTCCAATCCATAGGATATTTTTATGGGTATCTTATGGTAACAAATTGAAGATTCTTATGGTAACAAATTTGGAATTCTTATACCAAAATCTAATTCATTTTAAATATTAATCCCACAGGAATCTATTTTTATTGGTAACAAATTTGAAGATTATTATGCCAAAAAATTGAGATTTTGAATTGAGATATCTCAACAATTACGGATTTTTTTTCCATTCAAATTAATGTTGTAAATCAAACAAAAAATTATTCCGAGATAATAGAATGTATACTAAATTAATATCACTGGGCCCACACGTTAATATGATATTAATTAGATAGATAATTTACGTAAATTTTTCCTAACAAAATACGTTCCAATATTGTTAACCAATTTAATGGGATTTTGTTGACTAATTTGATAGGATTTTGGTAACCACGAGATTTTGTTAGCTTTTCATGGAAACACGTATCTTCATTATTGATAGGGTTTCATAAGATTTTGTTTCCAATTTTTTTTGTTTTTTTTTTCTTCTCTCGAAAATTTGATAAGGTTTGATAAGATTTTTGTTTCTTTTTTTTTTTCTCTCTCTCGAAAATTTGAGTTGTGGATTTGAAAAAAAATAAATAAATAAAATAAATATATCATATTGATAAAGTTTTAGTGTGGGCATAAAAATTAATTTTTATATGATTGAACTTTGTTTCATATAAACCTAAGAGAATCAGACGTCTGAAAAAATAAAATATTAATAGTAAATAATCATACCATATTTGTAAGGTTTGATTTGGAATATTGAGGCATAAAAATCAATTATGATTTGATCACTTTTGTTTTATAGAAGTTATCTTATAAAATTTTACACGTTTCAACAAATTAAAGATTATAATTTCGTAAATTAAAGTTTTGGATTTGCCCAAGTAAATAGGGAAATATCAAAATAAAAATATTATTTTTCAATTTATTCAAAAAGTCTTACCAAATAAAGAGGTTGTTGGAAAAATACATTAATAGAAAGTTTGACCAAATAAATATAATGTTTGACTTACTATTAATGGAAAATTTGAAAAAACACATGTAAATCTATAGAAACAAAATTTGAATCCTATTTTTTCGGTAACAAATTTGGAGATTCTTATGGCAAAATTTGAATCCCTTTTTTTCGTATCATATTTTATTCTTTTACCAAAATTTAAATCATATCTTTTTTGGTAACAAACTTAGAGATTCTTATGCAAAAAATGTGCCAATCTATATATATATAATAAGAATTACCATTTACCAAAAATAGTAGCAAAAAAATAGGTCAGAATTTAATGCAGCCCATAAATAGTAAGTTTTATTATTTTTCTTTAAAAAATCATACAACATTAAATGCTACCTTAAATTTCGAGCTTTAGTTTATTTTATTATTTAAAATATCTGGCTAAAATCTAATAAATGTGCATTTTTTTTATTTTTATTTTTTTTAGAAACAACGAACAATATTAAAATCTTAGTCTCTATATTTATGAAATCTCAATTCAAAATATAACAAAAGTTTTAAAATCTCGGTTTTTATATTTGTGCCTTTCAAAAAAAATATTGAACATTACAAATATTATTTAAATTGCATAATCAATCAACTAATCTTAATTTTTTAAAAATTATTATATTTATTTTTTATTAATATGCATAAAGTGAAAATAATTAATCTTTGGGTCTTTCCTCTCCTTAAAGTCAAGCTCGACGCGATAGGTTATAACATATGCTCGACTAAAAGGACAGACAATTTTTATTAATATGCATAAAGTAAAAATAAATTGTTCATCTTTAGATATATAATTTATAATCTCAATATACTATCATTTGGTGTAGACATTTATTATATGAATCATAAAATATTTTCATTTCATAAAATTAAATATATTTAAAATAAATAAGAAAATTTCTTTGGATCATTCGGGTGATTGAATTAGAGTACAACCCAAGTTGATTGAATAACTTTTATGTGATATTTGAAATAGTAAAAAAACTTGATACAACTTGGTTGTCCCAGATGACTAAGTTATATATCGGTTTGACCAGAGCAAATCAATTATCAAACCTAAATATTAATTTTAATATTGAAAATACTTTATTACGTGAATGTGATGTAGTCCAAACTTCAAATAATCATATTAACAATATTTTTATAACATCATTTTTAATGATTTATGATTATTTATATATAATTTTATTAATATTTATGTGAATAAAATAATAATTTATTATAATTTTTATTAATGTACAATAAATATAAGGTTTCAGAACCGGACCATCATCGAAACGATCAAGTTATTTTATTAAATCATTTGTGATTTGTTCAAATTTGAATTTTATAAACATTTTAATATATATAGTACTTTTTGTAATAAATTTAAATAAAAGGTGTTACTTAAATCTAAAATTTATAAATTCAAATGTTTAAACTAATTAATAAATAATTTATAAATCTCCATTTTATTTAAATATGTAATTTTATTAAAATAATTTCAAATATAACTAAATTTATTTAGAAAATTGTATCGATCCTACCAGTCCAACCGATTGATGTTGACGGATTCGATAGCAAATATTTTATTTAAGCAACTAGACTGGTTATAAACTGGTCTTCGGTCCATTCGATCAGACTGTGTCTAATCCGGTTTAATTTAAAAATAATGGATAAATCATGATTATTGTCATTTATATATTAATTTATAATACAATCGTAATATTTCTTCCTCGTGCATCGCACGGGCCTTACACTAGTTATTTATGGAAACAATTCTAAATACAAATCAATTTAAAAATCGTGCAAATTGGATACAATTTACGAAACAAATAGTTGTATAATTTCTAACCAATTCTTCCAATCTTAGTGAATAATTTTTTCTTTCAAAAAAAGTGTGTAAATTGGTTAAAACCACGTACAATTTTTATTTAAAAACAAAACTGATATTTGGACGGGATGTACATTCAAAATTATGCCCACATTTTTTGGTAACAAAAGCGGTTCATCTTTTAAAATAATTAATTGCACGCCATATTTAGAAAGTTTTAGATATTTTAAATCATAAAATAGGGTAGCATTAAATGCCCCTAAAATTATGGGTTTTGTTAAATTCATTTTTGAAAATTTCGACAGATATTAAAGTGAATATGAAATTCAAAATCTCTTCTCATTTTATTTTTAATAAAATCTGCATCCAAATTTACATGTGGTTTTGAAGTAAAAATTTGAAATTCAAAATCTCTTCTCATTTTAGTTACAAAAAATCGAATTGCATTCAACTCTTGGACCAATTTAAAAATTATTCCTTAAATGAAGGAATTTATAGATAATTGTTATTTCTACTCAATCAAATGATTATTTTCAATATAAAAAGAGACAGATTACAAATTAGTGAATCATATATTACCTAATTTAATATCTTAACATTAAGGAATAAATTCATAGTATTATGTAAATCCGTATCTCATATTATTATAGCATTAAGAATATATTATAGTTATATTATCAAATCTTTTAAAGATATTAAATCCATATTGTAAAAAAAATAATTCATATAATTTTATAACAATTCAACTACACTATTTAACAATATTCTTTTTTATTATATAATAAAATAATAATTAAATATTATATAATGAACAACAATAAGTAAAACTGTTACTTTCTCTTATATCAAGGGATAAATTTATATGCTAAAATTAAATTTTTATTAGTATAAATGTTTTAATGAGATAATATATTAATTATAAGCTAGCCTTAACATGCTCATATTATATGTTCTTGCTAAAAAAACAACGCAAGTTAAAAGATGTGGAAGAAAAAACTTATAATAATACTATTGTTTTTTAGACTTAACGTTGATTAAAAGAGGTAGAAAATAGATAATAACCCTATTATTTTTTAGACTTAAATGAACAAAAGTGTGAAAATAACTCATTTAATATCCCAGTCCCATGCATCGCACGGGGTACGTACTAGTAATAATAATACATTATAACTCATAATTACATGTGAAGTAGAATAGCAAAAATTGTAATATACAAGGAACCATGAGACATATTCTTTACTTTTTTAAAAACATATACACCACCCAACCCAATTAAACGGGCTAGCCTAACGATTTTCGGGCTAGCCCTAACGGGCTTCGGGCTAAACGGTCCGGGCCTAAAAAGCCCGAATTTAAATGGGCTGCCAATAAAAAACCCTAACCCTGTTTTTTTCTGGGCTAAACGGGCCGACCCGTCGAGCCAAGGACCATTTAACATCTATAGCTATACATAGGGATGCAAACGAGCTGAGTCAATTCGAGCGCTGGCCTTATCGAGCAGGATTGATTTTTTTTAGTTTCTCGAGCTCGATTTATGAGGCTCGAGCGATAAAAAATTACAATAGCTTGAGCTCAACTCGAAACCAAAATGCTCGAGCTCGGCTCGAGTTTGACTTGAAAATTTTTAAGTAGAAAAGTAAACTTACCATTAAGCACCTATGCTAATATATATATAAAGGGTTTTTAGTAATTTAACATATATCTTGAGTCGCTCGACAATGCAAAATATGAGCTCGAGCTCGAGTCGAGTTCGTGCTTGAGCCGCTCAAGCTTGACTCGAAATCAGTCAAACTCAAGCTCGAGTCAAGCTTTGACTCGAGCGCTCACAAGTTGCTCGGTTCGTTTGCAGCCCTAGCTATACATAAAAAAAAATGCAAGTTTACATAATTCTAAAGTTATTTACAAATCACACATGTACTAAAATAGAGAAAAATAATTAGATAATTGCGAAATGCAAAAACACTGCATTAAATAAATAGTTTCCCAACTAAAATGCGTAATTTAATGTTGCACCATGATAAAAGTGAATACCATAATTGAAGGGATTTACCTACAAAAATCATCACTAAAAATGCTCTCTCTCTCTCTCTCTCTCTCTCTTCTATATGTTGTGTGAAATTGGGTTGGCAGGAGCGGACGGCGGACTCCAGGCCATCGTAGAAGAGGTCGTCCAAGAGGTTGGTGGAGGGTCGGGGTCGGGGTCGATGTCGTCCAAAGGATGACAGTGATGTTTTGGTAGAAATTGGCAGCAGCGGGGCAGATGTCGATGGAGAAGACGACATCGATAAGGAGAGAGAGAGAGAGAGATGGCCGATAAATTCCACTGGCTAAATAATATTTTCAGTATATGTTGTGTTTATAGTCAGTATATTTTCAGCTTATGTTGCGTTTTTATTTACATAACGTTTATCCAATCACAATTGTGATGTTTTGATTTTATTTATATTTTTTAATTATTTTTATACCAACAATCTATACAACATTGACATATAAAACACTTTATAAGCAATTTTTTCAGGTTGTTAATATACACACACACACATATAATATTATAATTTTTTTTTTTTGCTCAACCAAATTTTTGTTTATACTTGGTTTATAACATTTAACTATGTATATAACACACACACACACACACATATATATATATATACACACACACACTAGTGGTCTATGCACGCACAGCCGACTCAAATTTAGTCTTTAGTCGACACTGTAGCGTAAAGCAGTAAAGTTTGATATCATTTTTTTCTAAATTGTAACCGTAACAGTAATTGTTTCATGTGTAACAAACAGAAACTCGCTAATTGATCGTTCGTTAATTTTGTCTTCATTTCCCGATTGACCATTGAGTTGCTTGTGACAACTCTTCATTCCAAAGCTACGCATTCTTTGGTGCTTGAACAATCTGTTGAATCCAAAGGCAAATAAAAGATTCATTAGACGAATGATGAAAATGCCTTGAAGGTTCGTGGAAAAATTCAATAACTGAACATTTACAACTATTTTTAACACGAACAAATGGGTGCAGACAATTCTTATTCTTTTCAGCTTGGCACTTTTGCAATGCTAGCGAAAGAATTAATTTAGCGAACACGGAGAAACTTGTCTTTTAGTTCATGGTCCCATTGTACCGTACTACCGTCTGTGGAACTCAACCGACATTCATCCTAAGCACTATAGACAATTTTATTCACTGAATATGATGACTCTTGTTGTGTGGCTCAGCTCAAATGACATTTTTTCAACTGAAAATTTGTTTAAATATTTGGATAGATTAAAATGGAGATCATACGATGTAAGTAACGGCAATGTGATAAATCAAGAGCTTGTTAGGATAATTTTTTTTATCTTAAAATAGTTAAAAGATTGCGAGTTATCATTTAAAATGACTAATAATCTCCTAACATCAAGATCCATTTCAAACAGAATAATCTTATAACCAAAAGAGCCAAAACACCAGTACCTTTAACTCATTAGGCGACATATTGAGCATTTGAGGAGGTTCCAATTCTTTATTCATAAGGCGTCGTGCTAATACACCATTCCTCTGCAATAATTCAACAAAGTCAACATAGAATTTGAGTTACACAGACAGAAAAAAGAAGAAAAATGCATAGAGAAAAGGAGAAGAAGTTCAACAATATAGCAAAAATCATTTCTGAGCATCTGATGCAAAACAATTATTCAAATTCTGTAACCACTCATACCAAATCACCATAACCTTGTTCAACGATATTCAATAAAAAAGCTACACATGCAAGAACAAAATCCTGATGAAAAGCAACAATGGAGAAACCTTAAGGGTGAACGCTAACAGCCGCATCTTTTGATTATACTTATGAAATTCTGCAGAAAGCGTCTCATGAGCAACTGTCTCAAGAGTAACCACCACATGAGCGGCTGTATCTGGCCATTCAGATGATGCATCACTCCAAGAAAAATACAGTCAAGAAAATTCAATTTACAAAGAAAGGTAATTCAGAAAATGTTTCTGATTTCTGGGAGGGAAAAGAAAAGAAAGAATAATGGAACCTTACGTTGAGGTTTATTTTCTGAACCGTCACCGTCATTCTTGTTCCGATCTCGTTCATCTTTCAACTTACCACAAGAACTGCAACAGATTGAATTGATTGAAGTAGCTTCTGCAACCACCTGTCGCACTGTGTTTCCCCAGCCAGTGCAAGATTAGATAGGATAACAGAGTATCCCGATTCCGTACCACACGCGCTCCCAGAAGTTTCTGCTTTTATCAATTGAAATCTAGTAAGTCCTCTATCAACCCTGGTAACATTCAAAGGAGACACGTTCATCGTCCTTATAAGTCGTCTACTCTTCACTTGGTCTCCACGGTCCACAATAGCATCCTCAGGCTGAAGATCAAGAAGGTCTCCGATTTGTGCAAGATTTTTCTAACCTCGTGCTGCTTATTGTCCTTGTAATCTTTGTCGGTTAAGTTGAAGAGTCTGCTCTGTTAAGTGGCATAAAGTTTTTTCACGATGAACCCGGGATGTTGTTTGCAGCATGGAATCTACTTATTTAATAGGTATGAAGTGCACCACACACTTATGCATGACTGCTCCTGCGGCATGTAATCTGCTTATTTTGAGGTATGAAGTGCGCCACACACTTATGCATGACTGATCTCTATGGAAACTATAGAACAATTCCCTTGTGTCACTCGACTGCCAATTTCCACCGCCTTTCTTCTCTGCTTCTTCTAGATGATAGAATCACTATCCTGTCACCGTAACAACACCTTCCTGTGTTTGGGAAATATCCTATACAACAAAATAAGGACTGATTAACACTGCTTGCAAGAAAGGCTTATACTTTGATTTGTGAACTGTGCATCCAGATAACCAAATGATTCCTTACAAAAAGAAATTCTTACATCTTAGTATATGTTTTGTGCCTCTCTCATCCTCTCATGCTCCTCATCATGCTTTCTATTCCATTCTTTGAGATAATATTGAAAGAAAGTAGTGCCTATTTTTTTTTAATAAAAAACATACAATTAATGCTAAACAAGTTGTGAAGGCCAAAACAAAGAAATACAAAAATAAAGGGCAAAAAAAAAAAAATGTAAAAAAAGGTACTGAAATCAAACCGGGCCATCTAATTCCTACGAAAGTTTCTGAGACATGAGCAGCTTTGCCTACTTGTTCAAAAATCGAGTATCCAGATCGGCCGACGTGCCCTAATTCACAAATTTTAGAAAAAATAGAAAGGAAAATACATCAGCGATCTGTTGCAAATGCGAATCAACTAATACACAAAGTAACCAAAAGTTAGGAAAACGACAAATATCAATAAGGCAAATGATCGAAGAACTATATTGAAACCAAACGAAAAACATAAGAAAAATAGCTTTTGACCAACAACTGCAATGGTTATTCAAGTTTGCGGCAATAAATAAGTACACCCCCTCCCGTTCCACATCCACCCCATTGAAGTAAAGAACGAAAATGAAAAAAAAGGTATATTTACTGGTGGGAAAATATTCTATGTTCACTGGGAATCACAAGCCAACAATCACATAATATATTTCATCAATCGGAAAATTTAATAGTTTTACCTAAAAACAAGCGCAAAATCTTTCTGTTACAATTCCAAATTTAGTTTCACAACAAAATATACCACAAAAAAAGATCTAACTTAACTAGGCTATGTTTGGTAGACAGATAAGCTAGCTTATAACTTATTTGGTTAGCTTATAAGCTCCATGTTTTCAAATTAGCTCCGTTTGGTAGGACGAGCTTTCTTAAAAAGCTCAAGCTTATTTGATAAGCTTCTTTGGGTAGCTTTTCAAATAAACTCGTTGAAATTTTTATTTCAACTAGCTTAGCTAATTTTACCAAACACTTTTATCATATAAGCTAGCTTTTCAGCTATAAGTCATAAGCTATAAGCTATAAGCTCGAAAATTATTGATAAGCTATAAGCTAGTTTATCAGCTTGTTTTACCAAACATAGCCTAGTTGGAGAGAGGAAATTGACGACCTTTGGTCAATTACATCTTCAGAATACACTAGTACAGAGCCCGTGCGATGCACGAGATGCACAATTTTAAGGCTATTTATCCAGGCTTATAATTATATATATGAATAAAGAAAAATGTATGGGATATATATAGTACGTGACCCGTGCGAAGCACGAGATATATTTATTTGGAGAATATTATATTATAAGATGCAATATTCAATAAAAGTTTATAATCCGCAAGAAAATTGTACAATGTTCAATAAAAGTTTTATAATATTCAAGTGGAGTCTTAAAGTCTCTTGTACATTAAGACTACTGACAAAATAATATTTTAATCAATGAGTTTCCTTTATTTGTAGCCAAATTGTGAATGTGATTTGAGGAGTACAACAAATCGATATATAGCTGACTTGCTTTTTTCATTGTAGTTTTTTTTTTTTTTTTTTTAATGAATTTAAAGATATTCTAAAATATAGCAAAAATTAATTTTTTTATTACAATTAGGAATTTTACTAAATATAGACTCTCAATCTATGGTGTTAATCAACTTTTAAGTCTAAAAAATTAGGAATTTTTACCTCTTTTAATCAATGTTTAAGTCTAAAAAACAATAGAGTTATTATAAGTTTTTTTCAACATCTTTTAAAAACATTAAATATGAGCATGTTAGGGCTAGCTTGTAAAATAATAATATATTATCTCACTAAAATATTTATACTAATAAAAATTTAATTTTAGCATATAAATTTATCCCTTGATATAAGAGAAAGTAACAGTTTTACTTATTGTTGTTCACCATATAATATTTAATTACTATTTTATTATATAATAAAAATGGAATATTGTTAAATAGTGTAGTAGAATTGTTATAAAATTATATGATTTGTTTTTACAATATGGATTTAATATTTTTTTATGATTTGATAATATAAACAAATATATACTTAACTTTGACAAATAAAACAAATAAATACTTTAGTAAGTATTTAATGTATATACTAAATAGAAATATATTTGGCATAATCAAATACCAAATATAATCAAATAAGTCAAAGTGTACATTTTTATTTGGTATTTGATTTTTTTTATTAAAATCTTTTTATTATACTTACCTTTTTAAAATAAAACAAATAAATAAAGCAATTAAATAAATAAAATATTATAATACCAAAATAGTAATGACATTTAATGCAGTTGACTTTTCTGGATAGTAAATGTAGTAAATAGAATCTCCTTTTATATAAGTATAGATATGATATTATATTATGTTGCTCAAAATAATAATGCATTTATTGCATTGACTTTTCAACTTACTAAATTTCGTAAATAGTATACCTTATTATATAAGTATAGATTTTTCGATATTTATTTTTTATTTAAAATGCACGTCGAATTTGTGTTTAGTTTAAAAGGTTTTATTTTTTTTTTAAAATTAAATTATAAAAACATATTTCGAAAATACGTTTTACATACCCTAAAATTGATTCAGGATTTCTTTGGAAATTTAATAGATTTTTTTTTAAATTATAAAAATATAAAACGTATTTCAAAAATACGTTTTATATTCCCTAAAATTGATTTAGGGTTTTAAAGAAAACGCATTCCTAAAATATGATTTATTATTATTATTTTTTATTTAACTTCGGCTTTTTTTCAAAAATAATTTAATATTTTATAAATATAATTTTAAAATGTATTACCAAAATACTTTTACTTAAAAATATTGAATTATAAAAAAACGTNTATATAAACCTTCCAGCCAGCCTCCATTAATTCTCCCGGTTTTATAAACCAGAAAAATCCGGAGCCATTATCTTCTTCGCCATTATTATTGAATAAAATCCCAAGGATTTGTGCATCCCATCTCAATCAATCGGGCCAGAGAACCCAGGAAATCCGCTGTCCTGTCTAGAGGGCGCGTTTGTGAGGACAGGAGGCGGTTGCGGACGATGGCGGAGCCGGAGAACGGACGCCTCGGCGGCGGAGGAGGAGAGGCTGCTGATGGATGTTGTGGCGGTGCTTGATTTCGTCATGATCTGTGCGACGGTGGCGATGCAGGCGCACAAGGGGAATGGGGGAAATTGAACTGGGGGAACGGAGAGGATGATTTTGCTGCAGATTATTATCTATACGGCGGCGGGGTACCCAGAATGTGGGAGGGAGAGCTAGTTAACGATTGCTTGGACGATCGCCGGATCGCTCTGCAATCCACCTGGTATTCAATTGTCATCTGCATTTTCTACTTTTTTTTTTTACCTTTTTGTTTTGTGGGTTCTGCTATTTATTTATTTAGGTTGTGAATTTCTTTGAGGTGCTTGTACGGTGAACTGAATTATTTTTCTGTGTGCATAAGTGCAATTGGTGTAATTGAAAAATATATATTTGTTTTTCATTTTTGGTGAATTTCTGGTTAAAATATTGTCTGCAAATGTTGAGAATGTTACCTTTTGAGAAGAGGGGGAAGAAGAAAAGTAAGAAGGGAGCAAAAAAGAGTGTTTTTTTTAGCTTCATTTTGACGCATATTCGTGGTTGTAATCACCCGTGCAAAGTAGAGGTGATTTTGGTTTTCTAATGGGGGAAATGTAGTTTGGTCTTATTTATGATTAAATTTGATTCCCATAATCATATCTCAAGTATCTGTATGCTTTGACTATGTGCTTTTGGCATCTTTTTAACTGTGAGAGTCTACGTTTGACTAGGGGATTTAACCTTTTCTGGAGTTAAAGGAATTTGGTTATCTTTTGTAATTAGATTGTCATTTGTTGCAGCTGTCCATGCTATAGTTTTGGCAAGAATGTAAAACGAGCTGGCCTTGGTTCTTGTTTTCTTCAGGTAATTATTATTTTCTCTTGGGAAAGAGTTGATTGTCCTCGATTCAAGCACTTACGCTTTTTTTTTTAATATTCCTGTTATGTGACTTATGTCTTTTGTGGTTGGAATTTGGATGGCACAGTAGCCTGTTCTTTTTTCAAATTTATCTTGTCTAGAATAATTAAGTGTTTTAATTTCATGTAAGCTGCATATGAATAACATTTGAGAGACTGTACAAGAGGTCTCTTCTTTGGTGAACTGTTTTGATGCTATTTGTTGCTGGAGGTAATGTATAGAATGAATACAGGATAGCGGAGTTCTGTTGTTAACTAGTCAAAGGAGTTGAAAATTTCTTTCAGTTGATGCTTTTATCACTCGTTGACATGCTTTCCCAGTATTTTTGTCAGGGTCAATGACAACATTGAAAGAACTAATGCTAATTATAGAAAATTCAATTATTTACCAAAATTGCAGATTCCATAGACATTCTTCTTTTGCTCAAATTACATCATAAAATGAGGTATTTTCTGGGTAAATACAACCCTTAAGCTTTTTACCCTGTAGCTTAATTAAGCACGTACTTTTAATTTTTGAAATTTTACTGGTGCTTTGTTGCCAGTAGACTAAGTTTCAGGGCCATTTCTGTAATTTGAACTGTGCAAGGATTCATTCATCTGATTCTTGCCATGATTGCTCTATCCAATCTGCTTGCATTTTGTAATTACCAGAAGATGCATCTTTCTGTACTTGGCCATTTCTTTTGTGCTCTCAGTTGGAGTATATCTGGGATATCACCGTATGCAGATGAGGAAAAAGTTCAATAATAGTAAGAATTTCACTTCTGGAACTATTTCAAATTGTACAACCTCAATAATCTTACACCATTCTTTAGTTGACATGGTCTGTTCACTTACACTAGTAAGCACAAAACTTTTTGCACGTATATTTAGGCGACCTTAGCTATTTCATGCCATGAAAGAACCAAGCTGATTCAGAATAATGCCATACCAATTTTGATTTACGTTAGTCCTAATCTTCAGTATACATTGATTTACCTTGACTTTGACCTGTTCATTTAGAAATGCAAAATGTTCCCAGAATTCTCATTAGTTCTTTAATTTATCCGAATCTGATTTACCTTTAAACAATATTATGTTATATATATGTATAGCCTTAGGTTCCAAATTTTGATATGACTCTTTTGATCATACAGGGCGGTGATAGTTCTATCGATGACTGTATATACCATCTTATCTGCCCGCGCTGCACTCTATGTCAGGTCTATCTTCATTTTAAAATAAACTAGTAGTACACACATGTGTTAGTTAAGAAATTTATATTTAAAATAAAAAATAATGAAAAAGTATGTTTTAAATTTTGCGTATTACAAGGTGTTAGTTAGTTAAGAGGTTTATATTTAAATTTAAAAATAATGAAAAAAGTATGTTTTAAATTTCAAATACTTTTGTAAACAAATTATTATTATTTATTTTTAAATTGACGATTGTCCGACTTACCTGTCTTACATTATAATAACTTTTCTAACAAATATCATATAATTTTATAGATAATTTTATTTTTTCCAATTAGTAATAATAAATAAAAAAGTATGTTTTAAATTTCAAAACCCAATTAGTAATGGCATCTCTTATATTGTCTATTCCAGTCGCAAATTGTACAAGCCTTTAAAAACCCAATCCAAATCCGGCATGGGAAACTGAAAGAAAGAAGAGGAAAAAATTGTGATACGATTTGATAACATATTTTCCCCCTACGCGAGTCCTGTCTAAAGAAAAAGTAACAATAAAAAACTTAATTCTAAAACATAAGAAGCCTAAGGATACATGTGAGTGGTTTATAATCTTCATTCAAATATTAGGAGGTAGCACAATAGGAACTGCACAAATGATTAATTTGTAAAAGTTTGGAAAACACAAAAGTCACCCGAACCATAACGCCGCAGATCAAGATACCACCAATAGCTCTCTTTGTTGAGCTTCAAGTCATCCTAACCTTCGTTCCAAGTAATCAAGCCGCTCTTCCCTTTGACTTCCACCATTAAGTTCTCCAACCTGACATAACAATATAAAAGCTTATTAATCAAGTGGCATACAGTTACAAGAACTAACCATGGAAGAGAAATTTGAAAGAGGAGAAAGTTAAAATGCAGAAGACAAAGAAGTTGATCTTTTGAAAGAGGAGAAAGTTAAAATGCAGAAGACAAAGAAGTTGATTTTAGAATTAACTGTGGGGAATTCACTTAAGCTATTAGAGGGTAAGGAATTGGTCAATCTAATGACCTCAGTTCATTATTTCTAGTGGGATCCACCTTTGAAAATTATCAAACCCCTCAAAGGCTTGGGCTTGGGCTTTCGAAGGACTCATAAGTGAGGGGGATGTTATAATATATACTTGTGAGTTGTCCCACATTGTCTATACAGGGAAAATAGGCCTAACTTATAAGCCTAGTGGGCTACTCCTCCTACCACCAATTGATTTTGGGATGGAACCCCATTTGGGCGGCCAAAATGACTAAAAAAAGATGTTTTTGACCAAACATGGCTAAAATTTGTGTTAGCCATTNAATGCAATTGTTTCTGTCTAAATCAGAATTTTTTGTACCATAACTGAGTCGTATTTAGGAAAAAAAAAAAACTATTTTTTTTTTAATTTTTAAAAATAGTACAAAAATCATTTGCATGAAATAATAATAATATGTTATAAAACTAGAGGGAAAGAGAGAATGGAGAGAATGTATTCTCTTGGTGTGTTTTTCATTATAACTGAAGCTCCTATTTATAGGAAAACTTCTGATGGCACAACCGTAATAATACAATTTCATCGGGGGCAAAATAGTCATTCGCCCATATACATAATAATTGATCATTTGATATTTTATTACAACTTGACATTTTATAACACTCCCCCTTGAATAACTATTTTCTAAACATATCAGAACAAAAACTCAATCCGAATATCTTGAAGTGAAGCTTATGGCCATCAGGTACTGGTGCTTCAGTATGTCAGGAAAACCCGGTGGGACAAAATCTGATCATCGTTCAATCATAACATTGCTTTCTCAGGAAAACCCGGTGGGACAAAACTTGAGTATTGTGGAAGCACAACATTGCTCCCCCTCAAATAGATCATCTTTAGTGGAGTATCCCTGTGCTGCCTCGTTAAAACCTTGTCAAGAAAACTCAGTGGGAAAAAAACTTGATCGAAGGAAAAAGAGTACAGCTACTCCAGTTTCTCTTATCATCGTGAGGAATCATTCATTTATCCAGTAGTCCTCATCATACCATGAATATGCCTCGTTAAAACCTTATTAGGAAAAACCCAGTGGAACAAAATCCTAATGAAGGAAAAAGAGTACACTATTCATGTGAATACGCCATCCATGTTGCCTCATTAAAAACCTTGCTAGGAAAACCCAATGGGACAAAACCTAAGCCAAGGGAAAAAGAGTACATTGCGTATTCCATATATTCACCATAATAATCTTTCCATAATATGCATGAGAATCATATAAATTCATTCAGATTTTTAGATACTGATAGTATTCATGATAATATGTCATATCATGCTTTGTGCAACTTTTATTCTTAAACTCATTCTCATCATCAATTGATTTCAATGGTCTTACTGTCAATAGTTCCCAATATTCACATTTCAGCTGATTTCATCAACGTCAATATCATTTATATAGCGGTATTCATTTATTTGTGTCGACACTTATTCATTTCCATTAATCCCCGTAATATATTGAGATATCTCATTATCAATTGATTTCATCAATAGTATATATACACCCCATTTCATCACTTGTTTGGGGAATTTGAATTTGCACAATACCAACGCTTCCAGCGTATTATTCCACCATCATATCATTTCATATATTTCACCATCATCAGTATCATTCAGTTTATGATTTTGCACACTTTCAGTGTGATATATTATTTCCAAATTTCAATCATTGATTCTCCCCCTCATCTTAGCAGATCCCTGATCTATATTTCAGTATCGAATTTCTTGAGGGGAGTTCATATGGTCTCCATTTTGTTCTCGATTTCAACATATATTTGGAGGAATTTGAACTCATATCATTTGTAATGTTCACATGTTTCTTTCAAGAGTTCATCATATCAGCTGAGTATATTACTAGCTTCATCACTTTCATATGACACTTATTTTCATTCTTTCATAATCATCTTGTGTCATTCTTTGATCAAACCATCTCGTAACTTATAGTTACGTGTCATATACACATTCTTTGATCAAATCATCTCGTAACTTCATGTTACGTGTTATATAATCATTATTTGATCATATCATCTCGTAACTTCATGTTACGTGTCATATATCAATTATTTGATCAAATCATCACGTAACTTCAGGTTACGAATCACATACATGTGGCTAACTAGTGGATCCATAATATCTAGTAGCACACATGGAGGGGTAGTGGGCTCATATATATCATACGCCTTTCATACTCAGATTGATCAAATATCGATTCACAAATATTTAGCTAGTAATATTTTTTACCAATCGAGAACAAGCATCTCATATCACAAAGAATAAGTTCATCATGCAAACCATCATCAATAATATCGGCAAACATTTTTAAAGTGATCACAATAATTCGTTGTGACACGTTTATCACAAACATTTCACATCATCTTTCGGCGGCAATAAATGCACTTTAAGTGTAGGCTCTGGCACAATATCTTTTAGCCACTGCTTAAATCCAAAATCTTATCATGCCGTCTGCCACACATACTTTAAAATACTGTTGAAGTCCAGAGTCGTATCGCATACGCATCATGTTTTTCTATAAATTATCAGGTAATTCAATCAATTTCCTTAACGAAGGTCCGAATTTTACAAATGGATTTAACACTCTCAAATATCCGTAAATATTATCCATTTGTTCCAGTAAATATCATAAAAAGGATATATCGATCTCGATTAGAAAGATTGAGGGTGCTAATGAATAATGGTATTCCAAATGATGTTTGATGGTTGATCGAAGCACAAGTTCAATTGTCTGGAAAGTTTCCAAATTCATATAAATATATGTTAAGTATGGGTAAGAGTATTTTTGCAAAGAAACGAAGAGCAAAAATATAGGTGGATGCTTCAAATGCACTCAATGGACTTGTGACACACGATGTAAATCTGGGGGGTACGTGTCCAGAAATCGAGAAGATAAAATAACATTTATAAATGATGGATTGAGTAAGGAGTCTCTAGATCAAACGATTCAACAGATTCTTGAGACACATTGAGTAAGGAGTCTCTGGATCAAACGATTCAACAGATTATTGAGACACATCCTAGTGGGTATGTGCATCGTGAGCTTATGTCTTTATGGACTCAGTTCAAAAGTGAAGAAGAATGTTACAGTCTCAAAAATATTATTTCAAAAGATCAAGTTTGTAAAATTGGTCTTAGTAGTACGAAAAGTCATACTAATACAGTTTCGTAGGTTGTACTGTAATTTTACAGAAATCCTTATAGCTGCCGACAGATAAGATTTATTTAAAACCCCATGCCTTATCTGTCGGTCACAATTGTCAGAAGAAAAACAGTACAAGTATTTATCGTTTTGTAAAAACTTTCCTTTAAATAGCGAGTCATTCTTCATAATCATATATCTCACAAATCTTTGAAAAATTCAGTTTATCAATAAATAGATGGATGTTCAAGAGTCTTCGCAAGGTAATAATTTTCTTCAACCGATCAAAACCATATGTGTTCTTGGTGGTTCTAAACTGGTAAGTTTTTCTCAAACTAGTGATACTGTAAGTCAGTTAGAAAAAGAGATGGGGAATCAGAAAATCAATTTGCTGTATGGAGGGACTAGCAATACTTTCTTTGATAGTCTCTTAATGGCTGGACAATGTTTTGAGATAGAACTGAAAAGTATCATACCTTTTCGTAGAGATTCAACAAGGGTCATCAAGGATTCCATAAGTTTGATGCTAACTCATTCTATTCATGATTGTAATGATGGATATGGTGAACAAGAGCGATGCTTTTATCATTCTTCCAGGGGGTTATAGAACGCTAATGACAATGTTCACCATTGCTTCTTGGGCAGAATTGAAACTTCATAACAAGCCCATAGGTCTATTGAATTTTAATAACTTCTTTCATGGTTTGCTTGAATTTTTGGACCAAGGAGTATATCAAACATTTATATCTCCTCCAACAAGAGAAGTATTCAATCCTGCTGACACATCTGCTGGACTTATCAAAAAGCTTCAAGAATGCAATCACATTTTAAGATTCTGTGGAAACACAAGGGGTCAAGCGAAAAAGAGCTTTTGATCCTTTGGATCTCTCATTATGAACCCAAATATCATTTATGGGTGGCAGAGTTACGGAGTTTATACTCTCGAGACACACCCTTCTTTTATGGGTTCTATTATGTAATATTTTTCGCATTTTGTATTTATCGAGGATTTACTTCCTCTTATCCATATTTCCATCATCTGAACCTTTTGTACTTGTCCTCAGTAATAATAATATCAATTTCGCTTTTTGTCAACATAATTATATAGTAGTTCATGACTACAATCATTATCATTTGGGCTACTTCTGGAGCACTTTATTGTAATATTTGTATGATCTCGTATCTCGATGCGATTTTGTCATTTGATTTATTCTCTTAAACTCATATAATATAGTGAGAAATCATTTTGTGTGATCACCCATAACTAGTAACTTTTGGTACTACTTTTTCATTCTATTCAATCATCTAATGGTAGCTTCTGGTACCATTTCATCATTTTGCTTATTCGTAATATGGTAGCTTCCACTACCAATAAACCATATATCATTTAATCATTAAGTAGTAACTTCTGGTACTACTTCATCAATATTCATTTCTCCATTAATAAATTTGGAGAATTTATCAATCGTTCTTTCAGGATCAGGTTAGTCCATATAATGCCCGTTCACGACAAGGACTTTTTTCACATGGCCAGATACAAAGTATCATTAAATTCACTCACTGGCTATCACTTATTAGTACTGCCCGTCGCCGGCGGCAGAGCCCCACTGGCCAGCCCATATATATATAGCCATTGATATCCTTTTACATGGCCATTCTATGTCACCGGTTATTATAAATATACTTATCATCTGGCCATTACCGATCACCATTATTAATACACTTATCATCTGGCTGTCACCGATTATTATTATTCAATACACTGACCGGTTCACTTAGTTGTTCAAATCTTATTTCGGCGGATACACTGCTCGATCATTTCACATGATTTTTCATATTTCAACAGTTGACCCGTCGGCTACCATTAAATATCATCTGCTGGCGGCAGAGCCGCACTGGCCGGTCTATGTAGCTGCACATATTTATTTTCATATCACATGGGTCAATTTATAAATATCCACATGTTCATGTACCAAATAATTTTCTCAATAGAACAAAATCAAACATTTCATAATGACAATATATATTAATATAACTTAATAAATCATATTAATATTGGTTTTAAATCGAAGCACTATGTAAATGAAATATTATGAAATTGTAAATTTCTAATTTTTTATAATGTATGGTTTTTGTATCCGAGAAAAAAAACTATTTGAAACTTAACGAATAATCGGAGTATTATATTGATTTTCTTGTATTTTATATTTGGCAAAAGAGTGGAAATACAAAAGCAATTGCATACCTGTTGCAGGCCAACTTGGACTTCTGACTTATTTGGCCCATTCCTCATAAGAATATAAATTACTTTCTTCAAACCTTATCCCCTTCACGTCACATTCTCTCCACCACACCATTGTTTTATTACTTCCTTCCCACCATATAGATACAGTACACCACACAATCACATCTTTCAATTTCGGATACGAGAAAGTTCGGTTTTGTGGGTTTTGTGGGGCTACGTGCTGTTGCGCCACGAGTAAGGCGCGGACCATCTCTACTTGGCGAATTGGAATGAGATTTGGCCGATTACAAATACACTTTTTGGAGCTTTGAGGAGAGTAGAGAGTGTCATGACAAACTTATATTTCTATATTTTGTAGTTGATATTGGGGTTTCAAACGGTGAGAGCATTTTATCATTTCATGTTGTTTTTGGGTGGCTAATGACCAATGATAGAAAGTGGAAAATTAAGAGTTTATGGCTTCAAATTGGTTGAAGGAAATAATGGTTTTGTAATAATTCGATTTCTGATACAGAGGATCGTCTACAAGACGCAACTGTAGAGCATACTTTCGTCATACTACAAATCAAGCTCTAGAGGGCAGAGACCCGTGCTGATAACGTGTTATAAAACTAGAGGGAAAGAGAGAATGGAGAGAATGTATTCTCTTGGTGTGTTTTTCATTATAACTGAAGCTCCTATTTATAGGAAAACTTCTGATGGCACAACCGTAATAATACAATTTCATCGGGGGCAAAATAGTCATTCACCATATACATAATAATTGATCATTTGATATTTTATTACAACTTGACATTTTATAACATAATAATAATAATAACAATAATCACACACACTACACCACGTTATTTGAACATTTAAAGACAATCTTTTTGGTTTGTCTAGAGGTTTGGTTGGCCTTAATGGGAGGTGACGCATTTATGTACCAAAAATGGGGCATGTGATTGCACATGCTGATGGGCTCCCTCATCGCCATCATGCTTCTTATTGCACATGGCCTCATTTGTGACTCAATAGGGCCGGGCCGGGCCCCATTGTCCCACTACCACATTCATGGCTTATGGTACCATTTTTATCCTCCCTCGAATATATGTGGAAAAGCCCTTCAAAATTTTTCAGAACTCATTTCACATGGACTCATACCACAATAAGAAAAAAAGCATAAAATAAAAGTAAGCTAGAGAATGGGGTCTTAGTTGAGATTTTGCGGTAGAAATGGATGATCTCAAATGCTATCCATTAATCCAGTAGTTGAACCCATATATATATTTTTTTAATAAAAATGCATAATTATACTATAAAATATTTTCTTTTATTTATGTTGTTTTTAAGTATGATATTTTATTTGCAAATATGTAATTCTGTTGAAAAAGATATGATTATCTAACTATTATAATTGTCTAAACCAAAAGAAATCAAGTAGCATTGTGCTTTGCTGTGGTCATGCTTGAACAAATTTCAGGCACCATTGATAATTTGAATGAACATTAGGTTCCGTTGCATGACAAACTCGGGCAAGTTATTTATTGCTCCTAATTTGAGGGTTTTACTCAGGGCCATCATTTTTTTGTTAACAAAGAAAAAAAGAAAAAATATTAGTAATCCAAAATCAAGAGACTTGATTGAGGGCAAAATAGTCATTTCAGAGAGAAATAATGTCACTTTAGGTCCCATGCTTATACAGTTGCACCAAAAGTACAGTGTGGTTATTACAGTTGCATATTTAGAATCCACTCAGCTTCCCTCTCTATAAATACCACCTTCTTCCTTCATAACCAAGACACAAATTACAAATAGTGAAATATTCTTCCTTTTACTCTTTCCCTTAACCGTCTCAAGTTTGCAAACCTAAATAAAAAAGAAAATGGCTAGCAAAATGGCCTTTCTCTTATGCCTACTCTTTATCGTCTCTATTCTTGCTCAAAAACAGGTAACACACACATTTTGATTGAGTGTTTTTTTTTTTTTATATATGTCTTAGCATCATTTTATTGAAAATTTTTATTTGCCTTNAAAAAAGATCCAGCTCTGTTTTACATAATTGCACACTCACCTCGATTCTTTCTTTATTTGCAGTATGGCATCACTGAGGGGAGCCTTCGACCTCAAGGTCCGTGCTAAACCATTTCGTTTTAGATCAAAACTAAAATCAGAAATCTAAATTACATTTGAACGCGTTAACACAAGTCGAGCTTATTTTCTTGTTTTCATCTGACAAAAGCTGATCTTTTTATATTTTTTTTTTTCATTTGTTTGGTATTGTTGTTGTTGTTGTTATTTGTTTGGTATTGTATTTTGAGTGTAGAATGTGGAGGAAGATGCAGAAATAGATGCTCAAAGACATCGTTCAAGAAGCCATGCATGTTTTTTTGCCAGAAATGCTGCGCAAAGTGTTTGTGTGTGCCACCTGGCACGTACGGTAACAAGCAAGTTTGCCCTTGCTACAACAACTGGAAGACCAAAAGGGGTGGACCAAAATGCCCTTGAACAAAAACACGTGCAGCTCGAGCTGGCTGGTCCCGTGGCTTTTAAGTTATCTCTGTTCTGTTCTGTTCTTGGAAGTTTTATATTGTTAACTTCGTATTTTATATGCTAAATGTTGTTTATTCTCGTCGTGTATTGCTAGCTATATTCAGTATTAATTCCTTGGAGACTCTGTAGTTGTTGATTGACTAAGAAATTGTTGTACTTTACAAGCATATTTTGAATTATGTACTGATCAAATGAATGGAAGTTCATGGTATTCTGTGGACATTCATGTTCTCTTATACAGTTCTTTGTGAGGTCAAGAAAATGAATTCAAACAGGAAGATGACATTCCAATGTCCTTAGAGTTGTGTTTAGAAAACCCTACTTTTTCAACGTAGATATAAGCTTACTTTCAAACTGAAATGTCATACTTTAAAAAAACAATATAAACAAAAATATGACATTTTTCAAAGTATAAGTATGTATTGTTGTTAAAAAACAGTATGATATATCGACTCGGTAATGGTTAGACAGTCTCACATAAGAAACTCGAACAATTTTGTGGAATTACAGATAACGCCTTAGATTACTGCAATGTCCCCTTTTATGTGCTATTAGTGTGTACCCCGTGCGATGCACGGGAACAATATTAAATTAACAATATTATAAATAGACCTCGAGTTTGAGTCAATGGCGGAAGTGAAAACTACTATTGATCGTATTTAAAAAGAGGAAGAAAAAAAATAATTATAAATAAAAGAGGAGGATAAACAATACTTAATAATTATAAATTAAAGATTCGGGGTCAAACAATGTAAAATGATTTTGTATAAGAGAATATAAAAAAATTTGATTACACACCATTTCAAAATTATTATTATACTTTTTTGTATGGTTAGCTTAGAATATTTGTAAAAATATTAGTAATTAGACCGATGAAAATTAGCTTCTTAAAGTAGATAATGGATTTCTAGTAGTAATTATGAATTAGTTTCTATTTTATTTTATTTTTTCTTTTTAAAGATAATGGATTTCTAATAGTAATTATGAATTGATTTCTATTTTATTTTATTTTTTCAAATCTGTATAGATAAAAGATGAGATTTTTTAAACATCTAAGATCGTAAGCAATGAGATTTTGTAACACAAGAGATAAGCTCGTGTAGATTTATACTAAAAATAGGAAAAAGAAAAACAAATATTTATTGTTAAAACGATAAATTAAGAAACAGGAAAAAGAGAAACAAATCTTTACACAATTAATGAGCAGATTTTTTTGCCTATTCAGATTTGTTCAACAATTACTATATATAGGATATATTTAATGAATTTGGCGGGAAAAAGTTTCTAAATTTGTAAAAAAGTTATTCTTTTTATATAATGATAGATTCTTAAACTTTGTAAGTGTCAAGTTTATTAACTTTAAAAGATGCCTTGATTTGTTTCCTTTCTTTCATGATCAGACCAAATAAAAGAAACATAATTTCTTGGTCTTCCATTCATAAAGGCAAATAAAAGAAATTGATTAAATCTTTTAGGCTAAAAGACCATTTGGGTTTGTCCGTGCAATTAGGCAAAAAGACATCTTCACTAAAACAACCAAAAGTATCAGTACATCAAGGGAACTAAAAAGACAACTGAAATCCAGCTAACTAACTCACTCACTAAAATGTTCATCCCATGTTACGTACACAAACTTCAAGTTGAACAAATATACTAGAAAGAAAACGACTCAACTCCAAACAGATTAAACAGAGACTTGTAGAAAGAAAAAAAAGAGACGATGTAATAAATTTTATCAACAACTCACCAAATTTCAACAACCACAAGCAAATTCACAGAAACCAGCCAAGACTCCTCAAGCTAACTCTCGGTCTTTCTTTCTTGCCGTAATAGGAAATTTGTGTGAATGAGTGGCAATTTTGGTACTCTTCATAAAGTTAAACAGAGTATATAGTCTTCTAATTTGTTAATCGTTAGTGCTCCTTCTTCATTGTACTAGCTCTTTATTAAAATTCGGCCTATGATCGACGATTTTTGCTTAAACGATCGTGCTCTAACGATTAGACGGTGTCTAGGTGAGCTAGACGGTTATGAAGCTACTTATGTGCACTAGGCAACCAGGGACCCGCCATTAATTTTAATTTTTATTCGTAAACTTATATTAAATATATAATATCAAAATTATTACAATAATTATGAATTCATTAAATTTTGCATGACCCATGTATTTAACCATATTAATTAATATATCTTATAAATTACGTATGACAATAAATAAAAATAAATTTATTAATATTTTTTCGACGCCATGCACCTAGCGTTAGGCCTCAAGTCACCGTCTAGTCATTTTTAGAACATTGGTTGTAGCTTAAAAGATATCGAAATTTTATATTGATTTTTTTTTTCTTTTTTGTTTTTTACTTTCATTTCACCTATTGATATTAGGAGGAAAACAATATTAAAAATACTTTTATAAAAATAATTATATGGTACTAGTAACACTGAATATATAAATTGAATGTGGCGCAACATAAACATAATTTACTATGGATGATATAATATAATTATATTGGCCCTTATTAGTACTATTTTGGTTAATATCATTACAACCAATGAATAAGAATTGAGACTAAAGTGTGTAACATATTAAAATACTTCAAGCCACTTGAAAATTGAATTATATAAAATTACATAAAATTGGTCCACTTAAAATGTATTAGTCCAACCCAATTAATATATTTAAAAGCATCTGATATGGGATACCATACGAGCATAGTAAGGTAACATTCGACTTAAGAATAGTTCAATCAGAACAAGTGAAGAGGCAGGTCGGTCAGACAACAAGGATGTCAGAGGTGGTGGAAACATTAGTTCGACGGTGACCTCATAGGCAAAGCAGCACGACAATAGGTCGAGTTAGGGCTCTTGGCTAGCCTAATGGAAACTCGACCTCGAGGCTTATAGGTCAATGTACAACCTAAAGGATAAACTTACTCGTTGAAGGTTAGAGCGAGCTAGTTTAGGTGAAACCGAGCTAATAGCACGATTACGCTACCTAATGAAATAGACTAATATGAACGCACCACATACAAAAGATAAGATAATTAAGATAAGAAGCACCCATGGATAAGACTACATGGGCTAACAAAATTTGGCAAATTGGGCACTCGGATAGTACGATTGGGTAGCTCGGGAAGTCGGCCAGACCAATCGGACAGTCTTGGACAAAAAGGTAACACCTCTATATAAAGGGGTGAGGTATAATCATCACAACTCTACACACTCTAAGCATTCTATACTTACATACTTTGTATACATTACCTTCTAAGTGCTCTAACGATTAGACGGTGTCTAGGTGAGCTAGACGGTTATGAAGCTACTTATGCGCACTAGGCAACTAGGGACCCGCCATTAATTTTAATTTTTATTCGTAAACTTATATTAAATATATCTATCATTATATAAAAAGAATAATCTTTTTATAAATTTAGAAAGTTTTTCCCGCCATAATCATTAAATATATCCTAATTATAGTAATAGTTGGACAATTGTGAATAAGCACAAAAAACGGCTCCTTAATTGCTGTGTTTCCTTAATTCTAGCTTGCACAATTAAATCGGCGTGCAACAACAAATCTGATTGGCTTTTTTCTTAAAAACTTTCCCACAAAAATATCAGAATTTTTGTTTTACATCTAAATCTAATTTCTTTTTTTTTTCAATACAAAAACTGCTAAAAGTTTAGATATTCACGTGTACGAATTAGTTACATATTGGATCTTATTAGGAATGAATTATGAAATTAAATAAAACTTTTATTAAATAAAACTTTTTGGACGGCATCAATTTATATAAATTTATATAGATAGTAAAAAAAAATACGACATTAATTAAAAACATTATTTTTTAAAATTGATTCACAACATACATAAAAAAAAACTGTACAATATTTTCTTGGTGTGTACAAATTAAGTTGCTAAATAATTGGAAAGAATCCCACCTTGCTACGAATTCGAATATCATGCAACTCTTCACAATATTTTGTCCGCATTTATCTGATGTAATACATCAATTAATTGGAAAGTAAGTTGCTAAATAATTGTAAAAAAAAAAATACTGACATTTATTAAAACATTGTTTTTTAAAATTGATTCACAACATTCATCGAAAAAAAACTGCATGTACAATATTTCTTGGTGTGTACAAAGTATGTTGCTAAATAATTGGAAAGAATATCACCTTGCTAAGAATTCGAATACCATGCAACTCTTCACAATATTGTCCACATTTATCCGATGTAATACATCAATTAATTGGAAAGTAAGTTGCTAAATAATTCTACAGAATCCCATCTTGCTTTGAATTCGAATATTACAATTCTGAATATTTGGAAAAAGTCCCATACTGCATGAAATTCTCATATAAGCTAAAACTTGAACAATATTTTATCTGTCTCCATCCTATTTTTCCTCTACATATAATGTGATTTCCGTATATCAAGATTTTTCTTAAAAATCTTATCAGATATTGATTCTATTCTACGAATTATAAATTATAAATCTCGATTCTACTCTACCAATTATAAATTATAAATCTCAAAATATTGAGCCATTCTAATATTTATAGTTTGTGTAGATTTAATAATATATGATTGTTTCTTTGTCCAATACTATCTTATTGTACAATTTTCCTACGTATTATAAGACTTTTATTTAATATTGCATCTTATAATATAATATTTCTCAAATAAATACATCTCGGCCTCGTACGGGTCATGCACTACATATATCCCGTATATTTTTTTTTTATTCATGTATATAATTATAAGCTTGGATAAATAGCCTTAAAATTGTGCATCCCGTGCATCGCACGAGCTTTACACTAGTAATATCAAAATTATTACAATAATTATGAATGCATTAAATTTTGCATGACCCATGTATTTAACCATATTAATTAATATATCTTATAAATTACGTATGATAATAAATAAAAATAAATTTATTAATATTTTCTCGACGCCATGCACCTAGCGTTAGGCCTCAAGTCACCGTCGTCTAGTCATTTTTAGAACATTGGTTGTAGCTTAAAAGATATCAAAATTTTATATTGATTTTTTTTTTTCTTTTTTTGTTTTTTACTTTCATTTCACCTATTGATATTAGGAGGAAAACAATATTAAAAATACTTTTATAAAAATAATTATATGGTACTAGTAACACTGATTATATAAATTGAATGTGGCGCAACATAAACATAATTTACTATGGATGATATAATATAATTATATTGGCCCTTATTAGTACTATTTTGGTTAATATCATTACAACCAATGAATAAGAATTGAGACTAAAGTGTGTAACATATTAAAATACTTCAAGCCACTTGAAAATTGAATTATATAAAATTACATAAAATTGGTCCACTTAAATGTATTAGTCCAACCCAATTAATATATTTAAAAGCACCTGATATGGGATACCATACGAGCATAGTTAGGTAACATTCAGCTTAAGAATAGTTCAATCAGAACAAGTGAAGAGGCATGTTGGTCAGACAACAAGGATGTCAGAGGTGGTGGAAACATTAATTCGACGGTGACCTCATAGGCAAAGCAGCACGACAATAGGTCGAGTTAGGGCTCTTGGCTAGCCTAATGGAAACTCGACCTCGAGGCTTATAGGTCAATGTACAACCTAAAGAATAAACTTACTCGTTGAAGGTTAGAGCGAGCTAGTTTAGGTGAAACCGAGCTAATAGCACGATTACGCTACCTAATGAAATAGACTAATATGAACGCACCACATATAAAAGATAAGATAATTAAGATAAGAAGCACCCATGGATAAGACTACATGGGCTAACAAAATTTGGCAAATTGGGCACTCGGATAGTACGATTGGGTAGCTCGGGAAGTCGGCCAGACCAATCGGACAGTCTTGGACAAAAAGGTAACACCTCTATATAAAGGGGTGAGGTATAATCATCACAACTCTACACACTCTAAGCATTCTATACTTACATACTTTGTATACATTACCTTCTTCATCAAATACTGACTTGAGTTTCAGAGCTTCTACGCCGAGACAATCCCCAAAGCTATTTTGCAGGTCATTTTACCAGTTGAGAGCGAATAAAAAAACGTTCAACCCAGTCGAAGTCGTTTACACTACCAGTACCTAAATCTAATACGACATGATCGAAAGATGCCTTATATTATTATTTGATAAGAATTATAAACTAAAAAAGAGTAACTCAATCATTTTTTTTTTTTTTTTTTTTNTAAACTCAATCATATTTTGTTGCAATAATAAATAAATTACAATAACAATAAATAAATACCTTAAGGAATAACTTGTACTTTGCAAATAAATTTAAGTTTATATTTTTATTGTATTAAAAATATATATAGATATTTTAAAAACTAATCTTAATAAATAAAAGAAGGAAAGAGAATTGATCGATTTAGGTACAATAAAAAAGTGACTCGTAGAATTTAGAAGCGCCCTTTTTATTAATCAAACAGTAGAGATGCGAGCGTCTTAGTCATAAAATGATGTTATAATTTTAGTTAAATTACATTAATAAAATAATAAATATAAGAATTTTATAAAATAATATAGACATTTATTAAAAGTTTCTCATTATACACAAAGAATGAGTAAATATGTCACGTATGTGTGAAATAATAAAAATATCTACTATGATAATAAATTATTAAATAATATAAGTAGTAACTTTATTTAAATGAACCGACCTGGAAATAATTAAAGGACGTAATTATATCGTGTGTTTTGGGGGAAAGAGAAAAAACCGGATTGAATTGGAAAAGATATATAATAGTTAATTAATCACTAAACCTTGAGGGGTTAGGGAAAGAGTAGAAAACCCTCCTCGTTAGGATTAGGATTAGGATTAGAGGAAAGAAGACATGCATTTACTATAAATATAAATCAGTGTTTTGCAAAAGAGATTGAGTAATTAATTCATACAGAATTACAGATAAATATATAGAAATATATAGGGTGAGCTAGGTGATCATCTATCTATCATGGCGGTTTGTGCTGGTGCCTACAATCTCCTTCACAACCACAACCAGTTGATGTGCGGCGGCAAGCAAAGGGAATATTGGATTAGGGGCCCTCTGTTAGGAGAAGGGAGCTATGGCCGTGTTTACAAGGCCACTCTCATTAACTCATCATCCTCTCTCATAGCCGTGAAAACATCTCTTTCAGAAACACTCCGCAAAGAGTTTGAGATTTTGGTTCATCTCTACGACTGCCCTCACGTGATCCGGTGCCTCGGCTACCACACCACACAAGAATATTACGAGGGCCGTTTATTGGTTTCTAATAATCTGCTTTTGGAGTATGCATCCGGCGGTTCTCTCCTCGACAGGATTGAGAAATCTGGAGGCCGATTGCCCGAAATGGAAGTGAGGGCCCACACCAAGTCCATCCTGAGAGGTCTCCGTCACATTCACGGCCTCGGTTTTGTGCACTGCGATTTGAAGCCCGAAAACGTGCTGCTCGTGGCCGAAAACAACGGAAACTTGACGGCCAAAATAAGTGATTTTGGGCTTTCGAAAGAGAGGGGGACGGTACCTTATGTGTGTGGTACGCGTGCGTATTTGTCGCCTGAGGCCAAGTTGTATGGGACGCAAGAGGAGCCTTCTGATGTGTGGGCCCTCGGTTGTGTCGTGCTCGAGATGTTGGTGGGCCCGGATAATGCGTGGGGAGGGGCAAAAGAGGAAATTCTTGCGTTGATTATTGGCCGAAAGATGATTTCAGAGGATGCAGGGGATTTTCTCAAGTGTTGTTTCACGAGTGATCCGGATCGAAGGCCCACTGCCAAATCCCTCTTGCTGCATTCCTTTGTCGACGACTACGCCAAACATCTGTTTTCGTCGGCTAACGCAAGCGTTGAAGATGCTGAATATGGGTTTAGTTTCCATTTCGATTTTGATGATGACAATTAAATTCATTCATCACTAGCAGGCAGCGGCTATCTTCTGTAATATGTATATATACTCTCATGTATCAAGGAAAAATTAAATTTAATTACGTACTGCTACGTACTCTCAAGTTTAATTTTGTGAATGGTCTCTCAATGTCTCATGCATGCAGACAAACCTACCAATAGTAATTAACATATATTTGAAACCACCAAGTGATGGATGTATAATTTAATCTGGTTTTTATTTTCTAACTAGTAGTCACCCGTGCGATGCACGGGGATATTATTATGTAGAATGTTTTTAAAAAATAATTTTGTATATAAATTGTGTTATGCAGGCAATGATCATGATCATAATAATAGACATATAAACATATCATTAAATTGAAAAATCATATATTATTGAACACTTCCTTATATACAATATTATTGGTTTGATTCTTTGGCACGTCATCTTCGCCACAAATTAAGATTTTCAAACCTTTTCGGTTAGTGACACGGGAAACAACAACATATAACTGGCTATGACTCAACACTGGTTTCTTAAGAAATAAGCCAACATGAGATAAGGATTGTCCCTGCCTCTTGTTTATAGTCATGGCGTAAGAAACCATAATGGGAAACTGTCGCCGCTGGAACTTGAAAGGAATTCTAACATCAGAAGGAGTTATGGTCATTCTTGGAATCAACACCTTATCACCAACATGATCTCCTGTGAGTATCTTACACTCAAGAACGTGAGTCGATAGCTTTGTCACTACCAATCGTGTCCCATTACACAAACCCATAGAATGATCCATGTTCCGCAACAACATGACTGGAGTTCCAATCTTCAAATACAACTCATGGTTCGGTATTCCGAAACACTTGATACTATTCAAAAACTCAGGCGTATGGAGATCAGATAAAAAACCATTATTAGCATCCGATTTGCACGTACTGTCAGAGCTCAAGTACATACGACCATCCAACAAATTCAATGATGTCATGTACTGATTGATAGACTCGACCACATCCAACGTCGGCGCTAATATAGCCCTATCCTTCAAATAACTTGGATCGTCGGGTGCCTCTTTATACATTGCATATGTGCTTTCAACTATATGAGCAATAGGATCATCAAATGGCTGAAGCAAAATGTCCTTGGGTATGTCTAAAGGTGCACATCCATCATTCAACCCTCCGATAGTTCCATCTCCGATGTTGGCTATCCAATCTGCAAACCGCGCAAGCTCATCACGTTCATCCGAATTAGCAAGTCCCTGAAGGCGCATTTTTTCGTAAGCCTAAGCACAGTTCCTCCATATGTCAGAAGAATTAATGGCAGCATTGACTATGTCCTGACGGCTACCATTTAGAATGACAGGAAGGATTTGTCGAAAATCTCCCCAAAAAACAACCGGCTTCCCACCAAACGGTTTGTTCAAGTTCAAATGATCAATTACTCCCATAATACCCTGCAGCGACGTCTGTACAGCTTCGAAACAATGCTTGTGCATCATTGGTGCTTCATCCCATATTATTAGAGAAGCACGAATTATCAATGGTGGATCTATACATTCTGATATTACTCTTGACTTGATAGTTTCGAAATGCATAGACAGCACCTTCTTCGAATTCATTGATAAAAGTTGGGATGTTGATTGCTTTACTATTCCAGTAATTCGACCTTCCTGAAAAAAAAAAAGAAAAATAATATTAGATATTAGATATTATAATTAACATGATGAGAAAAATGGATCATCATTATTTTTTATTATGAATTAAATCTCAATGTCATGAAAGACAATTTCAAGGATGTTCTTGTAGGAGGAGTATTGATTAGTCCTTTGGAAAACTCGAACCACCCTCAACTTGAGCATTGGCCTGTTGATCCTTGTTACTTGCTTGATGTTTCCCCATGCTCTCGCCATTTTTCTATTTGTATGTGAAATTGTAGTGTGAGATTTTTGTGATACGTGATATAGGCTCCAACGTTTATTTTATAGCCATTGGATGAAAGTAGATAACCATTAGATGATAAGATTAGTTAGACTCACGTTAATCTCTCTTGATAAGATTCATTGCACGTGATTTTAATTTCAGAGTTCCAATAAATTCAAACTCTAATATCATGATAAGATTAGTAAAACGTGATTTATCAGATTGTTAACTCTAGATTCATCCAACGTAGGACTCTGCATTTGTTATGTTTTCTAAATGAATGACATTGAATTCAAATGGAATATATTTAGGTCAATCCAAACATAAATGATTATCACGTTGGTATGGACCGAAATTTTTATGATGATAAGATAAGTGGAAAGTAGTTAAGAAGTGGAGATTTTTGTGTGATAGCATCATTACATAATTACCATCACCATCAATCTTTCCATTAAATTTCGGTCCATACCAACGTGATAAAAAAAAAATTCTTGAAAATATTTTTACGTCAAACAAATAATATAATTACGTCAAAAATTTTGTACGACAAAATTTTAATTCAAACAAATTTTCCATCTTTTTACGTCAAAATTTTAATAATAATAATTTATATATAACACAAATTAAAATAAATATTATAATCAAATTCATATTTATGAATATAATTCATTATGATAAATTATTGAAAAATCACGCAATATAATCCATTAAATGTACTTGATTTAGTTATTGTCAATTCCGTAAATTTTTTTGTTCAAATAAAAAATACACCAATTTTGAATTCAAATGGAATTCAAAGAGTGATACTCGGTCGATAAAAACCTAAAAAAATTTTGAAATCAAATTGTAATTTTCAACCTTATCATGTATGATGATAAGATAAGTGCAAAGTAGTTAAGAAGTGGAGATTTTTGTGTGATAGCATCGTTACATAATTAACATCTTTCCATTAAATTTCGGTCCATACCAATGTGATACAAAAAAAATTGTTGAAATTTTTTTTACGTCAAACAGATATTATAATATTTTACGTCAAACAACTCTTTCCATCTTTTTACGTAAAAATTTTAATAATAATAATTTATATATAACACAAATTAATATAAATATTATAATCAAAATTCATATTCATATTTATGAATATAATTCATTATGATAAATTATTGAAAAATCACGCAGTATAATATATTAAATGTACTTAATTCAGTTATTGTTAATTCCGTAAATTTTTTTTTAAATAATCTTATATTCAAAATATTTGTTAAAATTTGTATTAATTTATATCTTGTATCATGGCATTCTACTAATTTTAAACTAATATACAGTAGAACTCAAAAATAAAATGTTCAACTTTTCATATTCATGCGACATTTAAGAAAAAAAAAAATATCCAACGACATTTTATAACGATAACAAATATAATAACACTAAAATTTATTATAGAATTCGGAATTCAACGACATGGAATGAAATTAAAATTCATAATAATCAAACTTAAATATCATAAATATCTCCTGCTCCTTGCTAATGTTGAGGGAAAATATCAACATTTTGAGGGAAAATCCCACCATATTTGATAACATGAGTTCTTCCATAAATTTATTAATATGAATTAAGATATTTTTTAAAATTACATAAATTTGATATTACAAATATAAATATTTACCTGTTCATCATGAAAGAGTATATGGAATGCGTTCCAGCTCTCCCGTTGGTGATGCGTTTCAACTATTAGGACTGCTTTCAAGTGCAAAAAAGGCTTGTTTCTCCTACTCACGGAATCGAGTGTATCCCAGACTGGCGGCATTTATTATCAATGTGTTCTGATTTTTTTTTTTTTCTCTGTAAAATTTATCTCGGTTTTTTTTTCTGTGAACTGTGAATGACGTGAACTTTTTTTTTTTCTAAACTATGAATGACGTGAATTGTTGAGTAGTGGTAGTGCATACTCCCTCCGTTTCTTATTAAATGTCGTTTTAATTTAAAACTTCTAAATTACGATTTTAATGGGTTGTGTAATAATCTTATTTTTTAATCTTTTTAAATTTAGTTTTTGAATTATTAATGGGTGGTTTTTAAAGATAATGATACGAGATAATGTTTGTTAAAGAGAATAAAGATGTAAGAATGAATATAATATTTCCAACGACAATTAATTTACAAAAAAGTTGACACCCTACAACGACATTTAAAACGAAACAGAGGGAGTATGATTTTATACCAAACAACCATTTTTGAACTAAAGATTCGCATAATTATGTAGTAATAATTATGGATCCAATTGTGACTTATCCACATATCCCTATAATATCTCTAATCAATTAATTTTTGAATTAATCATGTAACGATAATTATGGATTCAATTGTGACTTATCCACAATCCCAATAATATCTCTAATAATAATTATGGATCCAATTGTGACTTATCCACATATCCCTATAATATCTCTAATCAATTAATTTTTGAATTAATCATGTAATGATAATTATGGATCCAATTGTAACTTATCCACAATCCCAATAGTATCTCTAATAAACAAATTTTTGAATTGAAGTATGACTTTTTTAAAATTTCGTGTATTATAAATGCAATAAATCTGGTTTCTATATTTAGATTGTCAAATTTTTTTTTTTTTGGTCAAAAGTTTCTAAAAAGGTATTTTAACAACCACCTTTATATATATATATAGATTCCTATACTTTCTAAACAAAACTTCTGAATGCGAAGGTCCAGGACTTTGATCTGCTATTTGATTGTTGAGGAAATTGGTTAAAGAGTTGTGTGGTTTGATGGAAATAAGCCTGCTGCTTCTTGTGTTTTTTCATCTGTTTTATTTTTTTGTAGTGTACTAATTAGTTAGTTGCTGGTGTAGAGATTTGCAATATTTACGAGCAATGGATGAGTTATGGGTTTTCTTAACAAATAAATTATTTACGTCTTTTTCTTTTTGTAACAAAAACCTTCAAAACTAATGGTTTAATTGATTTTATTTGGATCGTCAATTGATTACTATAAATAACTTTTAGATAAAATGAATATTTTCTACTACTAAACATTCAATATTCGCACGAAAATATTGATGTTCGTCATTTGAAATT